CGGACACTCTCTTCCCGGCCTGGCGGAGCTGAGCCAGGGCCATGCAGGTCCGCATCAGCCTCCCGCTTACGGCCAACACCCTGCGGCTCCTGGTCATAATGCTGGTCACTCGCTCCCGGGTATCGGGCAAGCCATGCAACATCCCTCGCCCCAGTCCATCAACCGGGAACGCGAGCGAGACTCTAGAGAACGCGAGCTGATTGAGAGACAGCGCCAGGAGGAGATGGCCCACAGAGAGCGCGAGCAACGCGAACGCGAACAGATTGAGAGACAACAGCTGGAGCGACAACGTGAACAGCAGCACCACCCGGTCCAGAGCCACACAGGGTCTATCCCTATCCATCAGCCGGTGGCCTCGAAAGTGCCAAACTCCATCCACGGCCCCAATGGTCTGCTGTCAAATCTTGGGTCTAACCCGTCAAATGGCCCGCAAGGTTCTATGCCTACGCCGGGAGGGCCTGGTGGCATCTACGGCCCACAGATGCAGCATGGTGAGGGTACACCCAGGTCATACATGCAACATCCAGGTGGACCGCCCGGCCAACCCATGATGGGATTCAATGGCTCTGGCCCTCAGATTCCAGGCAATGTGGCGGCACTTGCCCAGGGCCAGCAGCCAATCCTGAACGTGAGTTACAGCACGCCGCGTGGATCAGTGCTCCACATCACGAAGCCGTGGCTTACGATTCCGTCACAGGATGCACTTAGTTATCTAGATCAGGTGAAGGTTCGCTTTGTCGACCAACCTGATGTTTACAACCGATTCTTAGATATCATGAAAGACTTCAAGAGCCAAGCGTGAGCGTTATACCGCCGCGGGAATCGTGCCTGACTAACTTGACAGCAGGATCGATACACCCGGAGTCATCCAACGAGTCTCTACTCTGTTCAATGGACACCCCGCTCTTATCCAAGGGTTCAACACGTTCTTGCCTCCTGGATATCGGATCGAGTGTGGCACAGAGGACAATCCAGACGCGATTCGAGTGACCACGCCCTCGGGTACCAATACCTTGAGTATGCCCCGTGCTAGACACTCTCTGGATTCTTCTGGCGAGCTTGGCCCATCTGGTGGCATGGGCCCTCACGGACGCGCTGAATACTATGACCAGTCTCGACCTGGGTGGCAACAGCCCCAGCCTCAGCAGCAGCAAGGCAATCTTCCAGGATCATACTCTCCTGGGTCCCGCATGATGGGGCCTGGCATGTTTGGACAGCAAGGTGGCCAGGGTCAAGCTCAAGAGCATCACTTTGAATACCCAACCCAGCAAGAGCAACAAGCAGCAGCTGGAGCTGCCGCTATGGCTCATCAGCAGGATCAGCGAGGAGTTTCCCAGCTTCAGGGTGCTGCCTCTGCTGCTTCTGCGGGTCTCACGCGTCCAACCTTGTTGCAAGTATCAGCAGCGTCTCAACAGGGTCCTAGTCTGACCCAGCCTATGAACAATTTGGCGGGCGTCGGCACCGGTATGCTGCAAGGCTCACAGGATTTGACCAAGCGTGGACCGGTGGAGTTCAACCATGCCATTAGCTATGTCAACAAGATAAAGGTGAGTCAGAATAAGCTAACCGACATTTAGTTGCTACCAGCTGACATTGAACTTCGTGATAGAACCGCTTTGCAAGTGCCCCTGAGATCTACAAGCAGTTTCTTGAAATACTACAGACCTATCAGCGCGAATCCAAGCCAATCGGAGATGTGTATGCCCAAGTTACCCAGCTCTTCAACACGGCTCCCGACTTGTTGGAAGACTTCAAGCAATTTCTTCCTGAATCTGCAGCGCATGCAAAGCAGCAGGCCGCAGCTCGTCAGGCCGAGGAAGCAGCTCCCATGAGCAATGTTCGCGGCGAGCCGAGCTATCCCAACGCCAATGCTCTTCCTTCTCAGACTCCGAACCGCGACGTCAAGATGCCCCCATTGGGCCAGTTCAATGTCAAGGACTCTGCGAAGGATGGCAAGAAACGTCGGAATGGGCCAGGCGCCCCATCTTCTATGGGTTCTTCAATGTCTGGTCCGTCGGCTGCGGATGCGGCGCGCATGGGAGATATGCAGGCTAGGAACCCAGCTCTCCAAGCTGGTAATGCCAACAAGAGGGCCAAAGTTCATCATACGAAGCCTTCCCAGGCAGAAGTTCCTGCTGTTTCTCCCACCCTCGTACCCGCTTTGCCAGAACCGATTCAGCCGACTTTCTCCCTGACCCCTACTCAGGAAGAATTTGCTTTCTTTGACCGCGTCAAGAAGTACATCGGCAACAAGCAGACATTCAGCGAGTTCCTGAAGCTCTGCAATCTGTATTCCACCGACCTCATCGATAGGCATGTGCTTGTGAAAAGGGCGGCTAGTTACATTGGCTCCAACCCGGAACTGATGGCCTGGTTCAAGCGCTTCATGCATGTCGACGAGCCAGAAGACAAGATCATTGATGTCAAAGCGAAACAAGACTCTGGACTTGTTAATCTGTCTCATTGCCGGTCCCTCGGGCCCAGCTATCGTCTGTTACCGAAGCGTGAGCGCCAGAAGCCTTGCAGTGGCCGTGATCAGCTGTGCTACAGTGTGCTCAATGATGAATGGGCTTCTCACCCCACGTGGGCGTCGGAAGACTCTGGATTCGTTGCTCACCGTAAGAACCAGTTTGAAGATGCCCTGCATCGCATTGAGGAGGACAGGCATGACTATGACCACCATATTGAGGCGTGCACGCGGACGATCCAGCTTATCGAGCCGATTGTGCAGCAATTCCTCGTTATGTCGGAAGCCGAGTGCGCCGCGTTCAAGCTTCCGCCTGGCCTTGGCGGACAGAGCGAGGCCATCTACCAGCGGGTGATCAAGAAGATCTACGACAGACAACGCGGGGAGAAGATTATCAAGGAGATGTTCGAGCGACCAACCCATGTTCTGCCCATCGTTCTTTTCCGTCTCAAGCAGAAGTGTGAAGAGTGGAAAGCGAGTCAGGTGAGGCACAACGCAAATTGTTTGTTATTTCTTGGATTACTGACCTTGGCAATAGCGTGAATGGGATAAAATATGGCGCGAGCAGATGCAGAAGGCATACTGGCGTAGTTTGGACCACCAGGCAATTGCCAGCAAACAAGTTGACAAGAAGCTGTTCGTGGCGAAGCATATCCATACTGAAATCCAGAACAAGTTTGAGGAGAGCCGGAATCTGTGCAAGAGTGGGTACCAGACCGTCAAACACCAGTTCGAGTTCACCTTTGACGATCCGGCTGTCATCATTGATGCCACGCACCTGCTACTTACTTTTATCGACCGTAACTCTGCTGGGTTTGGCGCCGACCCACAGAAGGTGATGACCTTTATAAAGGACTTTGTTCCCGTCTTCTTCGGCATGGACCGTGACACTTTCCACGTGTACATGAATGAACTCTCGAGTGGCGCATCCCCGATAGATGAAGGTGACGATGAGAGCCTGGCCGCCGAGGAGTCTTCAACGCCGCGCAGTCGGAAGGGCATCAATGGCAAGAAGATCGACCTTCTCCGCGACGTTCTTGAGCGTCGTAGCGAGAAGGTACGTCGTGGTGACAAGGAAGGCAGTACGCCAGCCAGCCGCGATGGCACGCCAGATGCTGTTCTCGTCCCGTCGACTCCGATTCCCGATCCGACAGAGCCGTTTGATGTGGCCGAGCTGAAGTGGATGGAGCACCCCGGGCAGGGTAACTTCAACCAACAGCGGGAGTACAACCTGAACGAGACATATGAGAAGAAGGCCCACCACTTGTACGCCAACCTCAATATCTACTGCTTCTTCCGCACATTCGAGGTCCTTTACTCGCGGCTGCTACGCATCAAGCTGCATGAAAAGGATGCTCATGACGATGTCCGTCGAGCGCTAGTGAGCAAACCGGCGCAGGAGCTCAACCTTATTGACAAGTTCCCTACGGAGTTCTTCTACGACTGTGACCCCAAGGCGAACCTGTACCAGCAGATCGTGCGCATGTGCGAAGAGGTCATCAAGGGCGATATGGAGCCTTCTCACCTGGAAGAGACGCTTCGTCGTTATTACCTGCGGAGCGGATATCAATTGTACAACCTGGAGAAGATGTTTGCGGGGATATCCAAGTTTGCCGGGGCGATCTTCAATGGGGACTCGAAAGACCGCAGCTCGGATATCATGAATCTCTTCTTCAAGGAGCGGGACAAGGAGGAGACCACGCACAACCAGGAGATTCAGTACCGCAAGCAAGTGGAACGGTTGGTCAAGGACGGTGACATTTATCGCATTACCTACGTAAGTGCTTCTATCTGGGGCTATTTAAACTGCTATCTAACACGAGTTGCCTTAGAACCCTACCACCAAGAAGACGACGCTGCAGCTGTTGACGCCCGAGGATGCCACGCTGGAGAATGAGGAGCTGAGCCAAGAGGCGCGCTGGTCATACTATGTCTCTGCGTACACGATGCGGGATCCGACGGAGGGGGTGCCGTTCTCTCAGATGCGCATGCCTTTCCTGAAGCGCAACCTGCCGGCCAAGCTGGAGCAGGAGGAAGAGTACAACCGCTACTACCGCCCTCTGGTGCACCAGGACGGGTTGATCATCCGCATCTGTGCCAACAGCTATCACATTCTGTATGAGCCCGGCAGCTACGACTGGTGGTGGCGGCCGACGGCGCCGGCGGAGGAAGCAGCGGAGGAGGTAGCCAAGGAGGAGGCGGCCGTGAAGGAGCGACGCCGGGATCGGTTTACGGAGAAGTTTGTCAATAACCCGCACTGGGCGCATGGTCTCAGCAAGGATCAAGTGGACGAATCGAATCAGCGATTCCGGTCCTGGATCAAGGGCTCTGACGGAGAGGCAGCTGCTGCTGCTCCGGCGGAAGGCACCGAAACCGAGTCGAAGAACGACAAGGAAGATACGGAGATGGCTGATGTCGAGCAGTCTGCGGTGGAGTCGAAAGAGCAATGAACAGTGCTTTCGGATAGAACAGCGCATGTCTGCAGCGTGCGGCTAAGTCCGCTTCTGCGGGGGATAGCTTGGGCGCGCGCGCCTCCACACTTCACCATGTGTATGACGAATACAGGGGACCTCCTCTCTACATAAACGGTACATAGTGTCTCTACGGTTGCACGAATGGGAATATTTCTGCTTGTTGGAAAAACGAATCCGCCTGGTGGCTGGCGAGGAGATGCGACCGGTCTGGGGGTGGACTGGAGCGCGCCTTGCGACCGGCAGGGGGAGAATTGTCTGGCGTGGGGTCGGGGGGATTGTGATTCTGGGACGGGGTCAACTTTGGGATGTTTTCATTTTTCTTTATTCCTCCTATTTTTTTTTTTTTTTTTCCTTTTTTTGCTGCGATTTCAAATTCTTCTTCACTGTGTATGTGTAACTAGGACTATGGGAGTTGTTGATCAACCGATATTGAATGAATCGATTTGGATTGAAGTGGAGTGAAATGAGTCTAGACTAGTAGAGTATTGATTTGGCGTTAGTAATGGGCGGAAGCTTGCTGGAAGCAGAGGAGCAGAGAGACAGCAACAACAGAGTAGCACAGATCAGATCAGCTTAGCTTCCGTGTGGCCGAACAGCAGATAACCGATACGGGCCGAGACTAGTCCGTCGGCGCTTTTCTGGACGAATCTCGGTGCTGTCTGTTTCTTTTCAATTGAAGCACATTTATCCCATTGGAATTGAGAGAGGTATATATAATGTATATTGAATTATTCGTCGTTGTCAATAGACTCATGATTTCCCCGGGGAGAATAAAAACCAGTTGAGTTCAAGGTGACGTGGGAGAGGCAACGCTGGACAAGGCAGAACTATGTTTGGCCGAGAGTTTGCCGGCGTGACGTCAGCATGAATGGAAAGGGAACCCTTGAAGATGCAGACACCAAGAGAGAAAATCTGAGAGAAACCCACCTTCCACTGAGACAAGACACTGTCAGACCCATTTGTCGCAGTGTAGAAGAGTCGGCGACTCAGTTCCAGCACCATTGACCCTCCCTGCCCCAGAGGGAAGTGGTCCAGCAGCTGGCAAGACCTTAAATACATCCAGCTGGATGCAGGCTGTCTAGACTGCTCCGACCTTGAGCATCGGAGTAATATACACCCTCCTGCATGCCCTTCCTGCAGCACTGGTCGATCGACAGCCACTCAGCATCCGGCTATCCCCAGCGATCCCCCATAGTCCATGCGGGATCCATAGAGTAGTCGCTCCTTATCCCCGAAGACGCGCTGCTCCTCGCCTTCGTCTAGACCGGGGTAGTGGAACGTGGCGGGGGTTCCGTACCGTATTTCTATCTCACCGTCACCCTCGTCTGCTTTCGTCTACTTTCTTCCCCAGTTCTTTTTCTCTCTCTTAATCTTCCCTTCATTCCTCTTTCTCCCCTCTCCACTCCTCATCTCTTCACCTCTCCCTTTCTTCCCTCTCTATCTCTCCTGGACAATTAGTCCTTCCCTCCTCATCTCCCTCCCTCCCTCACAATGTCTGCTTCTGCCCTCTTAAGAAGCCGTGTTCGCCGGCCTTCCTATCTTAACCGGTTGGCCAAGGCTGAAGATCTCATCGACCTCTTCCCCAATGGATCGTATATCGGCTGGTCCGGATTCACGGGAGTTGGTTATCCCAAGTAGGTTGCGCCCGTTGTCCCCGCGTGGCTGCCACAGAGGCTAATCCGGATTGTTCCCGGTTTCCAGGAAAGTTCCCACGGCGCTGGCCGACCACGTTGAGAAGAACAAGTTGGAGGGAAAGCTAAAGTACACCCTGTTCGTCGGCGCCTCTTCCGGCGCGGAAACAGAGAACCGTTGGGCTCAATTGAACATGATCGACCGTCGGAGTCCTCACCAGGTCGGCAAGGAGATTGCCAAGGGTATCAACAATGGTCAGATCAACTTTTTCGACAAGCATCTGAGCATGTTCCCGTCGGACTTGGTTTATGTAAGTCTCCATCGGATATTCGGTGATGTTTATGTGGATAGCAACTAATGGTGTTGGTAGGGTTGGTACACAATGAACAAGCCCAAGAACCGCTTGGATGTCGCGGTTATTGAGGCATCCGCTATTACGGAGGACGGCGGCATTATCCCCGGTGCTTCCGTCGGTGCCTCTCCGGAGCTGATCCAGATGGCCGATAAGATCATCATTGAAGTCAACACGGCTAGCCCGTCGTTTGAGGGTCTGCATGATATTGTCATGTCGGACAAGCCGCCCATGCGCAAGCCCTACCTGATCATGCAGCCCGAGGACCGTATCGGTACTCCCCACATCCCGGTTGACCCTGAGAAGGTCGTGGCCATCGTCGAGTCCGACTACCCCGATCAGACTCAGCCCAACGCCCCCGAGGATGAGGGCTCCCAGGCCATCGCCACCAACCTGATTGAGTTCCTGAAGCACGAGGTCAAGCATGGCCGTCTGCCTGAGAACCTGCTGCCCATCCAGTCCGGCATTGGAAACATTGCCAACGCGGTCATTGGCGGTCTCAGCAAGGGTGGTGCCGACTTCACCAACCTCAAGGTGTGGACGGAGGTGCTCCAGGATTCCTTCCTGGACCTGTTTGACAGTGGCAACCTGGACTTTGCCACGGCCACCTCTATCCGCTTCTCCCCTGAGGGCTTCAAGCGCTTCTACGACAACTGGGAGCGCTACGCCGGTAAGCTGCTCCTGCGCCCGCAGCAGGTGTCCAACTCGCCCGAGATCATCCGTCGCTTGGGCTGCATCGGCATGAACACTCCGGTGGAGGTTGATATCTATGCCCACGCCAACAGCACCTGTGTCATGGGCTCTCGCATGCTCAACGGACTGGGTGGATCGGCCGACTTCCTGCGCAGCTCCAAGTACAGTATCATGCACACCCCTAGTACCCGGCCCAGCAAGGTCGACCCCACCGGTGTCAGCTGCATTGTTCCCATGTGTACCCACGTTGACCAGACCGAGCACGATCTGGACGTGGTTGTTACTGAACAGGTAAATCCCTTTGCTCGTTGAGATCCCTTAATATCCATACTAATAACTGATGTAGGGTCTGGCCGACGTGCGTGGTCTTGCTCCTCGTGAGCGTGCCCGGGTGATCATCGACAAGTGCTCTCACCCCGACTACAAGCCCATCCTGCAGGACTACATGGACCGGGCTGAGTTTGAGTGTCTGAAGAAGGGTATGGGCCATGAGCCTCACCTGCTGTTCCAGGCGTTCAAGATGCACCAGAACTTGCAGGAGAAGGGCACGATGAAGATTACCAGCTGGGAGTAGACAGGAGAGTAGAGATATGAGTTATGTACAGAGGTGTTCTTATACGGTATCTATTTCTGCTGGCTTGGAGTAGAGAGTACAGTTTCAAAATATTTACAGTTATTTGATAGCTGAATTAGCTGAATAATAAGTGAGAATCAAAGCAAGTGGCCTACACCTTGATCAGCGATATCCCATTACCTGTAGAATGATTAGATATGAATGCTTTTAAACACTCAACTTGACATCACTGAGAGTATGGCCAGTCATGTACTATATTTTGGATAGCCAACCGCCCTATATCATGTTATTTCTGGGACACAGAATGGTCTAAATTACGTTAATCAGATATACCTTGAATGCGGAGCAATCAAACACTATCAATACTAGTATTAGCCCTTACCTAAGTATATTATCATCAAAGATAATCCCAGGCAGCGTCAACGTATTCCACCATCCCTATGAATCCATTCAAGGCCATAAGTATTCTTGTCACACTACCATGCTACAAATCACTATCAACTGTCCAGCATGTGATGTTACAGCTATAATCTATGACCATCATAGCAGCCACTTAACATTAACAACTGTATGCGTGAAGTATACCGACTACTTCTATACTCCACTCCAACTACCTTCTTCGTACTGAGGTGTGCTGCCTGAACAACTTGACATTGTCCAGATGTCCAATCTGACTCAAGGCTATCACTAGTATAGAGTAGTGAGTCCTCCACGCTGCACTAGTTATCATGTAGTAGCTGTGTTGGGGACGGCTATTTGTCGATAGTATTCTTCACCCTAAGTAACTACCAGCACACCATCGCACCAGCATACCCTTGTAGCATCCACGTGGACTTCCAGACCAATACTTACTACACAAGTAAGCTGAATAACACACCATCATACGCATTAATAATGCCAGAAATAATCTCCGACAGCCTTATCTCCGCCCGACCCTAAGCTTAACCCCATATCGGACTTAGCGGACATAACCAGAACCATGGATGGTTCTATACCACACATATACTACTCTTCCAGTATCCATACTATATAACAGTATCACTACTATATAACCAGAGCACATCCCTGCTATCCTACATGATCCCCAACCACCAATCAACTAACCAAGTACTCTCAAGCAACCAACCCAGAACATTCACAACACATCTATCCACACACAATGTCCACCTCAAATACAAATACAACGATGAACTTCATCTCCACCAACAAACTCACCAACACCCGCGTCCTCCTCATCGGCGGCACCTCGGGCATCGGCTTCGCCGTCGCCCGCGCCGCCCTCGAACACGGCGCCAGCATCATCCTATCCAGCTCCAAGGCAGAAAAAGTCCAGTCGGCTATATCCCGTCTCCAACAACTCTACCCTGATCCATCCTTCACGTCCCGCATCGCCGGCAAGGCATACGATCTCAGTGATCAAGCTACCCTCGAGACAACCATTGTCTCCTTACTCGACTACGCTACATCGTCTTCCATATTTCCCACCAAAGGAAACAACGAGAAAGTATTGCTAAACCACATAATCTACACCTCCGGCACGCGCCCCTCCCGCATCCCCATTTCCCCCACCACCACAACCCTAACCCCCCAACTCTACACGCAAAGCGAAACCCTCCGCGTCCTGGCACCTCTCATGCTGGGCAAGTATGCGAAGTCGTACATGGTAGATGCGCATACCTCGTCATTGACCTTCACCTCCGGGGTATTAGCGTCCAAGCCTGTCCCGGGGACGACATTGGGTGCGATGGCGGGGAGTGCCCTGGGCGGGTTGGTGAGGGGGTTGGCGGTGGAGTTGGCGCCGATAAGAGCGAATGTGGTGGCGCCTGGGGCGGTAGAGACGGAGATATTTGATGCGTTGGGGGTGGAGGAGAAGGAGGCGGTTAAGGAGATGTTTAGAAGGGGGACGGTGTTGGGGAGGGTTGCGGACCCTGGGGATGTCGCGGAGGCGTATGTTTGGTGTATGAAGGATGGGTTTGTTACTGGGGAGTGGGTGGGGAGTGATGGGGGGGCTTTGCTTAAGGGTTCGATGTGATGGAGATGTAGTTGTAGTATACTACTTAGTTATGATTGTTTGGGGGTTAGGTAGGGATGGTTGTTGTGGTGCTGTGATATGCAGGGGTGGGATGTTACGGTGGTAGGTAATTGATATGTGCTGCTTTTTGACTTTGTTTTATGTTTATAGTAGTATTGAAATAGGCAGTATTAGTATGTATCTAGTCAGTCTACTGTAAGAGTTCGTTGAACTACTCCATCATACATGTTAGTAGTGCAGATGCATAGTATACTGAATACATCATAACACACTTTAATTCGGTGAAATAGTATAATCAATCTAACGCTACCCAATCCCAAACACCAAGCCCAACCCAATCCACCATAATCCATCATATCCATCCATACCCTACTCAGTAGGAGGCTTATAAGACCCCCCAATAAACCTACACCAGAGTCAGTCATTCATTGCCAAACATCCCATAACAACCACACAATGAATCAAGATAGTAAGTAGGGATGAACATACCGACTCAACAACCCTCCCAGAAACCCCTGACTTTCCGCATTACTGCGCTTCGCCCAGCCTGATTCCACATTGTAGTTCTTGGTATCTTGCAGGCCGGCGAAGAGGCCGCGGCCTGCTGTGGGGTGCTGTACCACCAGTATTTATTAGTATGGGTATGTGTAAGAGGGATATATGATATAAAGATGTATGGGAATGGGGATAGGGATAGATAGAGAGGGATAGTATACGCACATGCTTAGGACGATTCTTCACCCATAGATCAGCTCCGAAGTCGTTTTGGAGGCGGGCGGAGGATGTAGTAGGTGTTGATTTCATGGTCGATATATTTCTGTGGTGGGTTGATTGGTTGATAGATGTAGTGATTCTTCTGGATCCTGGTAGATTTTATCGAGGTAGTGTGTGTATTGTTTGAGATGATTCCGATTGAATAGTATCGTCTGCTTCTATCTACTATATATACTACACACCCATCACCACATCCCAAGCCCTACAGCAGTAGCAGTAAGTATGGTATACGGCATCAATCGGAACCTAATTACCGTTCACCATCCCAAACAAAGAATCCCATCGCACCATACTCCTCAATACTAAGTCAGGCATCTCTCCATCCGAATCACCTCACCTCGTTCACCTCCTCATCGGGGTGGTTGTATCCGGGGTAGAAGGCATCACGTGTGCAGTGCATGGGACTCGGAGGATCCGAGCGATGGTATACCGTAGATATGGGTGACCAATTAGATATGCTCAATTTGTAGAAAATTTCCCTCGAAGGATGCAAATGTGGTTGTGGTTGGGTTGTGTAGTGGTTGGGGTGGGTGGCATGATCCCGGTGTATACTTAGTAGTGGTAGTGGGAGTAACATGATCTGATGTGCTCCGATGGGTGGTGAGATGTGGCGCAGCAGTGCAGTGTAGTGGGTGGTGTGATGTGGTTGATTTTGTGGACTACGTCAGTAAGTAGGTAGGTTTGGTTGTTGACGGGTAAATATTAAGGATTTAGGAATTTACATAAAGGTTTGGATTTCCTTTTTCAAAGGGATTGTGTTGGTTGGGTTTTATTCTGAGGAGAAAGTTGTGTGATGTGGTGATGGATGAGACTGTGTAACTTGCGACCGGTCGGTCGGCTTCAGCCATGTGGTTTCTCAACCATGAGTTGAGGTACAGGGTACGGAGGACTTATGTAGGGGATGTTATTGACATTGCTGAGGAATTATATATGTCCTGTCAGTTATGTCAATTTTGAGTCCTACAGTAAGAATGTGAGGTTAGTTATGTGTGGGCGTCAAACTGACACATTCCTCGGATCGGTCAGCCCAACTCAACACCCACCACACATCCATCCTCTACTTAGGGTATCTCGTAGCTACACAACCACTCACTCAATACATCATCCTCTACTCATAAGCGAGCATCGGTAATATCCGAATCTTCCAGAACCCGTCAGTCAGCACTACAATAATACGAGTCATCGCCCCCAGCTATATACCCTCGTAGTAATAGTATCAGGGTTCACCCCCAAATTCAGGGGTCAACACCTACACCATCATGTCTCACACCCCAACGCGACTATTGAAAATTAGCCCAAATTCATCCAAGACAACACACATTCTCTAAAATTCAGCTCAGCCTTCCCAAATCAGCGCGCTCAACGACTTCGCTCTCTCTCTCTCAGATAGGCTCAAGCCAAGCCTGGTCAGGGGCAAATCGGTCCGCAGTGGAGGAGACTCTGCACTGACCGGTCGAGACCGGGCGGACGATGATCAATTTCTATTTTGTAGGGTTAATGGGTATTTATGAATAGTTCGGTGTGTTTCTTTTATGATTTTATTTTCATGAGTTGTTTCAATAGTCAATAGTTTGGCTGTTCGTATCGTACTTATGTAGTACGTATGTAGTCGAGGGATCCTGGATCCGATCTCATCTGATCTGGGGTAAGTCGAAGTGATGGGCAGAGTGGTCAGGGGTTTGAGGCGTGAGCACGAGGGGTTGGTTGATTTTGGCCGCCACTGACAGACCCTGACTCGTGTGGGAATTTTAACACAGTTACTGTGTGTCGACTGTCGAGGTGAAGCCAAGAAGGCCAGGCCTCGTTTCGGTTCTCGGCATTGCTGGAGTGCCAGTGAGAGACATCTCCACAGAGAAACAGTGACTAGGAACACTCGAGTGCTGTGAATTGATCTGATCGGCGTGGGTTGCTAGGACGGTGAAAGTGTAAGTCAAGGAACTCCAGATGGATCAGCGAGTAGAGGATAGATAGTTAGCTGAGTGAATCCATGGATTTATTGACAATTATTGACTAGGAGATGATGCGGAGGGATTGAACCTTGCGCGGGTGATAAACTCAGTACGGTACGGAGTAGCTCTTGGATAGTTATTCTTATTACTATGGATAGATCTCAGTAAGCCGACAGTAATTTCCAGGGGCAATAGCAATGGCAATGGCAATGGAATGGTAACCGGATAGTAACCGGATAGTAGCCGAACGGTGGCTGTCAGACTCAGAAGTTAACCGGGGCTGTTTCTATTCTTATGAATTCGCCTCTTCTGCTTCAGCCTTCTGACTGCTGGCTGCACTGCTTTGCCTCTCTGCTTGTTTCATCCAGCCTTTCAGACCCCGTACCTGAAATAACGCTCTCCTATTAACCGTGCAGAGGCTGAGTCCAACCATGGGTCGGTCTCTGGGCCATCCATTATTGCGCCCGACTTCTGCTCAATTCTGGCTGTGTTGCCCTTTGGTCGCTAATCCGGGCTGCGGTGGGTCCCCGGAAATTAAGGTGCTCGCCTTCTTCCAATGATATCCCGCAAAGTCAGACAGTGGAGGCAGCCACTGTACCCGATCGGGCAAAGCCACAACACCTCCTGCAGGCGGGGTGGATCCCTGACTTTCCAGTGTTCCTTGCAGCTGCACAAAGCAGCTTCTGTTGCTGAATCTCATTTCACTTGGATGTTGTGTGGTTGCCACTCTGCTAGGTGATTGTGACTGCTTTGAATATTGTTGTGCGATATCTGAATCTCATATTCTATACACAACAATACGGGATAACTACAACTCTCACCGATGGATTGTTCCCTGTCATCAGGAGACAGATGTGATAGAGGGGTGCCTACGTAGGAGTCCTCCTGGCAATAGAGTTTTCCTTCCAGCATCGGAAAATCTTAATCCAAATCATCCATGTCCGGGGTCAGTTTCTGTGTCGAGCAAGTCAGTACTCAGTAGACACGTCGTTTGACTGCTCTTCCACTCATTGATGGCCCATCGACCCAAAAAATAGTAGCCAGACCCTGAATGTCAGGATTGCAGCTAACGGTCACCGTCACCGCAATGAGGGAATGGAACAAAAGATATTCTGAAACCCCCAAGAAGGGAATGGACGACGTGCAAACTAATACTAGACTCGACTCCACCAGGCTATCCGAGCCGTGCGGACATCCAGTCCAATAGCGGCCAGTGGGTGCCTGGCATCCATCCATCCACCATCCACTCCCGCCCCCTTTTGTTTGCTTGGGGGCTTTTTCCCTGCTGGGCCAGACTTGCCTCTTTTCCCTTTCCTTCTTCTTCTTCTTTTTCTCTCTCTCTCCCTCCCCTCTTTTTTGTTTTCCTTCTCGGGTTTGTTTTGCAGATCGTTTGTCTCTTTCTCCCTCCCAGAGAAAGATATCAAAAAGAGGCCGGCGTGCCCTTTTCTCCCTCCCTCCCTCCCTCTCCCGCGTTCTCTTCTCACTCTGCAAACTTGACCACCGCTTCACTCTTTTAGCGGGCATTCATTGCGATTGAATTTGTTCCCGAACCCCCCTCATTGATTTCACCCTTACCGTCAATATGAAGGGTGCTTTCCTTGCCACTGCGGCTGCCCTCGCCGGTACCGCTCTGGCTGATGGCGGCGCTCATATGCGTCGTCACGGTCACGACTCTTTCCACCAGCGTCGTGCCGTTCAGGCTGAGCCCGAGGAGTCTTGCGGCTGCACCACCGAGGTCATCACCGTCTGGGGAACCCCTACCCGTGAGTCTATCCTTATCCCCCGCATTCCAACATTCCAGTTGATGCGACTTGCGATGTGGACAATACACTGACCATCACAGTCGTGCCCGCGGCTGTCCCTACCACCGTGACCTCCGACGTCGTCACCACCCTCCACTCCACCAGCTACACCACCGTCACCGTTGTCGCTACCCCCGGCGAGTCGACTGCCCCTGCTGAGGCTGCTACCACTGCCGAGGGTGCTGGTGCTACTGGCGGTGCTGCTGGCAACGCCTCCCCCAGCGAGTCTACCCCTGCTGCTGGTGGTGCCACCGGTGGTGCTGCCGGTGCTGCTTCTGGCACTTCCTCCACCCCCGAGGGTGTCGCTGCCACCGGTGCTGCTGGCGGCAATGTCGGCCAGGTCTCCTCCTCCACCCCTGTCGCTGCTGCTACCACCTCCAGCCAGGCTGTCCCCACCCCGGAGACCACCACCTTCTCCTCGACTGGTGTCTACACTATCCCTGCGGCTACTGTGACCGTCTCCGACACCACCTCCGTCGTCGCCGCCACCACCACCTCCCTGGCTAGCGGTACCCAGACCTACGGTGGTGTCACCACCATCGTCGAGACCTCGACCACCGTCACCTGCCCCTACGCCACTGTCTCCCTCTCTGGCTCCACCGTCACCAGCATCATCCAGACCACCACCTACGTCTGCCCCGAGGCCGGTACCTACACCATTGCTCCCACCACCACCTACGTTCCCTCCAACACCGTTGTGACCTACCCCACCGTCTCCACGGTCACCCCCGGAACCTACACCCACAGCGCTATCACTGTGACCGCCACCGTTACTGACTACACCTACACTTGCCCCTTCGCTAACGCCAACGAGCCCACCAGCACCCCTGCTGCCGCTACCACTAGCGCTGTTGAGGTTACCACCCAGGCTCCTGCCACCACCACTGCTGCCGCTGTCACTTCCTCCGTCCAGTCCAGCACTGTCGCCAGCTCCAGCGCCGCCGCCAGCTCTGGCGTCAGCGCCAGCGGCAACAGCATGGGAATGACCTACACCCCCTACAGCAACTCCGGTGGTTGCAAGTCCAAGGCCACCGTCGAGTCGGACATTGAGACCATCGCCAACAAGGGCTTCACCCACATCCGTCTCTACTCCACTGACTGCAGCACCCTCGAATACGTTGGTACCGCTGCCAGCAAGTACGGCCTCAAGCTGATCCTTGGTGTCTACATCTCCAGCACCGGCACCTCGGGTGCTCAGGACCAGGTCACTGCCATCACCGAGTGGGGTCAGTGGTCTATGGTTACCCTCATCGTTGTCGGTAACGAGGCCATCTCCGACGGTTACACCACCGCCAGCGAGCTCGCCACCTTCATCTCCTCCTGCAAGTCCAGCTTCGAGGCTGCCGGCTACACTGGCCAGATCACCACCACTGAGCCTGTCGACATCTGGCAGGAGTACGGCAGCAGCACCCTGTGCTCTGTCGTCGACGTCCTGGGTGCCAACATCCACCCCTTCTTCAACTCTGAGACCACTGCTGCCGAGGCCGGTACCTTCGCCTCCTCCGAGGTCGCCCTCCTGAAGAAGATCTGTACCGACATGGATGTCATCAACCTTGAGACTGGCTGGCCGAGCAAGGGTAACGCCAACGGTGCTGCCGTCCCCGGTACCACCGAGCAGGCCACCGCCATCAAGGGCATCCGCGAGTCCGTTGGCGAGCTGTCCGTCTTCTTCTCCTACGCCAACGACCTGTGGAAGGACCCTGGCGAGTACGACGTTGAGCAGTACTGGGGTTGCATTGACCAGTTCTAAGCGAATCCCGCTTGATTTGTCTATAGTTTCCTGAACAATTTTTTCTTTTGCTTCCGATCTGCTTGGAGTTGTTTATAATCCTGTATCTGTCGTCCCAGGTACATTCATCACGACAGGACTTGGCTTATCTTTCCCTTCTCCGTACAGTTGAAAGTTTCATATAGTAGATATAACCTTTGGTGTCTGTTTCATTTCTTCATATACTCTTATCTATGTGTCTAGTGACCGGGTTTGCGTCTGCTTTTCTTTGTTCTATAGGCTAATTTAACGGCTTACGATGATACTTGTGTAATTGTAGACAGGGACGCAACAGACTAACAATGACCTGGTCTTGAGTATAATCCAATCTTTGAATTAGCCAATTTCGATACCCCATAGTTCGAAACTTAATACTCCTCCCTCGTAAATGAAGTAACCCCAAGTCCCACAAACCTACAGTCTGAAGTATTGACTCTCTCGTCCTCTACCATGAATCGAGGGGCGTATATACTATTTATTCTATCTTCTTAGTTTAAGACTGTTTATAATTGTCTTCCACAACATCATCCTCTTCCTCTTCTTCTTCTTTCTTACCATGATCCTTCCGGGTACAGGTTATAGCACAATCATGACACACTGCGTGTTGATTTCATACGCAAGAACCACTTACTTACTCACTACTTCCTAGATATCCCAACGCATTCCTGAACAGCCTACCACATACCACTCAAGCCTTTGAGGGAAAGTATCAATATTCTAAAACCTCATAGTAGACTATAGACCATCAAACCCGAAGGGGCATATAATAAATTGAAATGAAACGCATGACAGATCATGGATATATAAAGAGTTAAAAAATAGAACAGAACGGCACTTTGTTTGGAACTCCGCCCCGACTGATATTGGTTCAACAACAACAACAAAAACAAAAAAAAAAAAAAAAAAAAAAAAAAAAAAGAAAAAGAAAAAAAGAAGCACGCGTCAATGCCACCAAATATATGAAAAGCCTATGGAACCCTTAGTAGAATTTTGTATTCGGCGGGAGTCCCTCAGCCTGGTCATCTCTCTGGATTCATTTATAATTAGCATACTAAACGATTCCTTCCAATTGTAAACAGCAAATGGAGAAGGTATATCCTGGGTCGTCGCCGTTGTCGTGAAAAAGCTTCATTGCAGACTTTTTGTCCATTCATATCTACCTCGAATATTGCAGACAAATCAGAGCACGTAATCTGCCTGATAATATTAATCTTGGAGGGGCCCATGTCCTTTCAAGGGAGCACTTCTTAGGTGTATGGTTGTGCTGTGGGAAGTTCGTCTTACTGATAAAAAAGGTCGGAGCAGGTCAGAGAACAAATAGTGGACAGATAATGGTTGATAATAGCGGGAATATCTAAGTTGAGTACTTGGAATTTTGATGATTTGCTATAATTGTCTCTTTCGGCGATCCCCCTGGACAGCTAGAGGAATGGGAATATGGTATCTAAGGATGCTTGGAGCCGGAAGCTGCCGGTTTCCCATCTATATCAGACCATAGTCAACATCATTTTGAATGTTTCACCTAACCTCCCTTTCTCTTCAGACAGTCTCCCTGCTCTCATCCAATCTATTTCTATCCATAGTCACAACCTGCCCATTATCCACAAAGACCTCATCCCACCCAGCGGTTACTTTAGCCGTCGGTTGCAGAATCTCAGAGTCACCGCTCAACAGCTCCTGGAATTCGGGGTCTTTGACGATAGCCGCCATGGTCTCTGCGTTAGGGACGTATACCGAAATGATCACATCATGATCATCTAGCGTCCAGCCTCTTCCAAGCGCCCAAGGGATCTTCTCCGTAATGAGCTTCTTACTACTGCTGGGAGTGTGATACTGTTGTTTACCCAGATCAGCTAATACATCCAAAGTGGACTGATATGCTGCAAAAGAGGTCGGGGACTGACTTGTATCACTTTGGAAACACCATGACGAACTTGAATGGGTGCAGCGCGCGGTCCAAAGACTTGTGTCATGTATGTCTGTAGCTGGGCTTCTGTGATGCCTTCTTTCTTGTAGCGAAATGCCGTGAGTCGGAGGGCCGTCTGGCGTTCCTTCTCCATGGTCAATGTATTTTTTTCGTAGTTGCTTGGACTGGAGATGGAGGGCAGTCTGTTAATCTTGGGGATTTTCAAATTGAAAGATAAGGGTAACTGAGAAGCACATGTAAGCTTATGGGTCGAGGTTTGGGGGGCCTGAGACATGTTACTCCCCGGTTGGGGGCGACAGAAGGCATTGCGCTTACATGAGAGAGATGAACGGTCTCAATGAACAAAATAATAGATTAACACTTGAGACATTTTGCCGACGTCAATGAACTAACTTGAAGCGAAGTGACACTTACGTTGTTGCTATGGTCGAGACTTAGCGATACTAAGAGGCGTAAGCCGCGCTAGCAACTTTTCATAATCTAGTCATACCCGCTAGTTTGGGGGCTGAAAAAAAAAAAAAAAAAAAAAAAAAAAAAAAAAAAAAAAAAAAAAAAAAAAAAAAAAAAAAAAAAACGTAGATTGAATTTCCCGTTTCACGGAGCCTTGGACGAGAGAGGCTAATGCATGCCATGAACTCACACTTGTCAATCGAATACTGCATGTTCTGTCGATGCGACACTACGGTTAACTGTTGTTCGAAGATATACCAAGGTCCATGTCCCCCCACCTCCAATCCGGGTGAGGACAGTCTTCAACCCTATCTCTTGCACTCTACCAAGTCTCGAACAATTTTTTTTATCTTGCTTCTACTGCACAATGGAATCATCACTTTCCCATAGAGGACATAAGAACCTGACGGATGTTCTTGCACGGTTTCCGCCCTACCTCCTAAATCCCAACTTCACATGGCACGGAATCGACTTGACCTTAGCGGAAAACCATGTAATTAGAAACGAGATCCTCTCTATCTTAAAGACATGCATTGGCGAAGGGCTAAGCTCGCAGGTGAGGTCTATACCGCATACTATCTAGATGGTAGCTTCTAAATGCTGCAGCTAATTGCTAATTGATGGTTTGTTTCCACTAGCATCTCGACTGGCCCAAAGGCCTCTGCGGTTACCCACCGTTACTGGATGCGCTTGCGACGACATTCAACCGCTACTTCGAACCATACACCCCAATTGAGACTGACCATCTGGCAGTCACACCCGGCACTTCCGCTGGACTTGATATCCTGCTGTACCATTTGTGTGATCCGGAGGATGGTGTTCTAGTACCATGTCCGTACTGGAGTATGTCTCTTCCCTCACCCCCTCTCACATATTCCTCTTAAAACTAACCAACAAAACAAAACCAGGCGGCTACGACACCTTCTTCGCCGTTCGATCCCAAGTCCAAATCATCGGTGTCGAAGTTACCGAACTAGAGGATTCATTCCACGACAGCGCACTGATCCCTGCACTTGAAAAGCACTACAAGCAAGCTAAATGTCCCATCAAAGCTGTCGTTCTCTCCCATCCACACAATCCCCTTGGCCGACCATACCCTCCTCACGTCCTAAAGCAATGTATGGCATTCTGTCGAGACCACAACCTCCACCTCATCTCCGACGAGGTATTCGCCCTCAGCACATTCACCAGTCCCGATCTTCAGAACTGGTCTGCATTCAAATCCGTCCTAAGTATCGACCCCTCAACCGTCGGTCTTGACCCCTCCCGCGTGCATGTTCTCTGGAGTATGAGCAAGGATCTAGCAGCTAGTGGGATTCGTCTGGTAAGATCTCTCCCTCAAATTTAACATAGCGCCAGGTTTGTGCTTTTGTTAACAAAGTCGATCCATCAGGGATGCATAGCAACCCGAAACAATTCCCTACGACGAACAGTTGGACTAGCCGGGGCTGTCCAAGTATCGGCCCTCTCCACAATCGGAGCAATAGCCATTTTGACATCTTCCCGTCTCCCGGACATACTAAAGCAGAACTGCATGGGGCTCGCCGTGGCATATTGTACCGTGACAGAAGCGTTTCGTCGTATTGGTATTACATACGTTTCAGGGACCGCGGCAGTGTTCCTGATGGCTCGATTGGCTCCGCGAGCTCAGACGCGGGAGGATGAGCTAGCTGCATGTGGAAAATATCGTCAGGCTGGGGTTGCGGTCGTGCCGGGGTCAGCGTACCATATGCCGGGGAATTATCAGCATGGGTGGATGAGGGTCACGTTTGGGGTGGCGCCGGAGACGTTGGCTGAGGGGATAAGAAGGATTGAAGGGGTGTTTGGGGAGTTGAGGTAGATTACTGGTTAGTTTGGTACGTAGTAGTATGAGGAGGCTGTATTGGTAGAGGAGGGGGTGGTGGTGGTGAGGGAAATAGAAAGTAAGCACTAGGAGAGTAAGCACTAGGGAGGGCTAAGTGACGGGAAGGATTAAGTGGGGGAATAATATTGCACAGAACGCATCGTACCATCATGTTGATTTTGATTTGCTCTGAATATCTATCTACGTATCTACATATCTAGTATATAGTCTCATGAATCAAATAGCGGCCCCATTGCAGGAATCCCTCGCCCCCGAAGCTGAGAAACCAGGGTATGGGTCAAGCTCCGATTGCTAATGACACAGACCATTTCAGCCTCGAAGCCGCGATAGGCCAAGCAATGGTCAACGACCCACGGGAGCAGGTCCACACGTCGACCTTGTTTGGAAGTGTCTAGTATCATGGCCTCCGGGTCCAACCGATGCACTAAGTCCAACACCCGCGATCCGTACGTTTGCTGCGGCGACCTAGTCTGCCACACCAGACGAATGGCAGGGCGACGATACGCTTCTTCTCCTCCTTCCGCTAGAAATGCGAGACAGGGGCCGATCCCAGAGCCTGTTGCCACGATCACCACGCGTCTGAAGAGTCGCATCACTCGGGTGAACCCATACGGCTGTTCACCCCGGGTCCATAATTCTGTCGGGGGGTCGTTGATTCGCGCTCCCGTCCAGTCTCCTGCCCTGGATACCAGGACCGAACAGTAGTAGCCCTGGGCTGCTCTTGTCTTTGCGGTTGCCGCCTCCTCATCGTCAATATCTATGCAGCGTGGCTCATCCGGGAACGTGGCGAAGCTATGCCAGTCCTGCAGTGGGTGAGTAGCGAGTGAGATAGTTTTCCCGAACCGTGAGTCAGCTCCAGATAGGTGGAGACGGATGACATGAGTGGAGAGCCGCTCTGCCTGTACGCGGATGCGTCGCAGGCGTGTCCAGGGCTGAATGATGGCGATGACGGTGATCAGGACGCACCAGAAGGCGGGTAGACGGACGAGGCTGGTCGCGGGGGATACAGAAATACTAGCAGTACTAGGAGTGAGAGAGGAGTCTCCCACCACGAGCACCAGAAGACTCAGGAACAGCGCGACGACTAGCCAGGTGAGGAAGCGATGGGCGAACTCGAAGGAATTATGATAGCGGAGTCGGACCGTGGGATAGGCCACTGCGATGATAACAGCTAGCAGAAAGAGGACGAGATAGGCAAGGATCAACGTAATCAGAGTGTGATTGGAGAGATCATGGGAATCCCCCGGGACCCTGATGGCCAGCTGGGTCAGCATGACAACTACCCCGACATACCAGATCAGCGCAGCCACGCCGCAACCGCTATGCACGCCGCCGTAATGGTAAATGTTGGCTGCCACACGACGAAGACGTAGGGGTAGCCGGAGTGATAAGGAGCACATTATCTGAAACATCCCATTTACCACGATCGCCTGACGAGCCAAGGCGCTTGCTAAGAAGTTCGCAGCAGCAGCATCCACGAACCGTATCGCAGACCAATCTTTGAGAATGAAGTAGATCAACGCAGCCACATTTGCGAGGAAGACAAGGGAAAAGATGTATCGGTAGGTACTGGGCCAGAGAAAGAGACGGGTGTCAATGCTCTGACGCGAGGGTGTCCCTGCTTTTCCCACCGGGAGCACAGAGACATCGATGGGAAGGCTGATGTTCGTTGGCCCCTTTTCTGATTGATCGAGTAGCTGAATCGCCGGAGGAGGAGGAGGAGGTGGTGGTACTAGAGTGGGTACATGCCCTGAGTCCATGCTGTCGTTCTTTATCATGCTTGTAACGTTTCTCATGAGGAGGGTATAGATATCAATTAGTTACGAGAGATGAATTGCTCAGCTATATACTCCACTACGAGGCTGGTATGTCCTTCCTTGGCTGCTCTATTACATCCTTCTTGTAAGACTGCTGTTTTTGGAGTGCGAGGGAAGAGGATGGAAGTGTTTAGTATGGGGGCCAAACATGTCCCAGGACGAAGTTATAGAAAACACAGAATTAGTGCGTTTTTGGTTTTGTTTTAATACTGACTGATATTACGGAGTAGCGATATATATCTACACGATCGATCTCACGGTGTCTGTTTGGCGCCTGCTTGGTAGGAGACCCACTTGGCTGTCAGACCGGCCTGGTGCGAAATCCACAGCGAAGCCTACCAGACTAGCCTGAGTAGTCCTAGAGTAGTCTATTTGAGGTCCCCGCTTACTGCCCCTCGCTTGCAAATTTTCGGCCTTGCCGAGTTCAAGGCTCATCCGAACATGATGGGGGGAGTGGACTAACGGGTTTACAAGCATGTGCCAAAGGGGAGGTTGTATTGGCTAGACTAGCTACACACAGACACACACACAAAGAGAATTCACAGAATCTTGTCGAGGATTTCGCGTAGTTCATTTGCCACGAGCTCCGGGTTATCTCGCTGGACAAAATGGCCGGCCCCTGGTGCCTGCAGAGGACCCTTACTGCGAGCAGGCTCAGTAAGCTTAGCCAATCCTTCGTTAAACCGTTGCCAGTAAGGATTCATATAGACTTCAGTCAGTCTTGGCGGGGCGCCACCCATCTGTTCAAATTCGGTTTTGAACGCCTCAAACTCATGGCCAATAACCGTTACCCAGGGACCGCCATCCGGCCCCTGCAACTTGGGTCCATCGCTATCCGGCAAAAGTTGCGCCAGATTCTTCCGGCTGAGCCCCTCGCGACTACCATTACTGGGGTGAAATACCCGTTGCATGTACGCGCGAGCAGCACGGATCGCATCCACCGTCACCCCATCTGGCAGACTGGTTGGGTCGAAGCCAGGTGCATCAGGGTCCGGGTAGATAGAGACAAAGTCGGAGTTTGCTAGCACACTGTCCAGGAAGAGAAGGCCTGCCACTGTGCCGGGATATTCTTGAGCATAGAGCCGCACCAGCGCGCCACCAATAGAGTTGGAGACTAGCACGAGGGACAGACTGCCCGGGTTCAGATTGGAGATACCCATTTGCTCGGACGCGATCTGAGTAATGAATTGATGAAGGTCCCGGACCACAGTCAATGTATCATGGCCGTGCATGGGATCCTCGGTGTTGTCGTCGGGATCCCGGTCTGTGGTCTGCCCCTGACCATAGCGGTCATAGGTCAACATGGCGGGCAGTCCAGCAGCGGGAGGCTGTGTTTGCAGACGTGTAATGGCCCCCTCCCAGGATGTCTGTGGCAGGCCAAGGCCATTGACAAAGACAATCAGCACGGGCTTGGCAGTGCCCACAGCTGGATGGAAGCTATAGCATAGTTGGGCGGAAGGCTTGGTAGACAGTGACAAGAACTGGTAGGGAGACATCTTGGAGAGAATCAAGATGGTTAGAGGTACTCGGTAGTAGAGATGGAAAAGAAGAAGGATAGTAGTAGAGTAGTGGTGGCCACTTTGCGTGGGCTTCCAGTGGGATATATAACGTGGGAACACCCCTCAAGAGACAATGGAACGCAGATGCATCCAGGCAAATACGTAAAACCGTAAGAAAATGTAAGCATACCTTGACATACCGCGCTAGTACCAGCCCATACGGTGACGCCCGATGCTTATGCTGCACGAAGCCTCAGCCTCGTCTGTCTGTGCGCACGGCAAGGTCCAGAGTCTCCACTCAGTCATCCTGCTTGCTAGATTCTGCAGTACAACTAGCAGTAGCGCGTGGGGGCTGAAGGCCATGAGATGGCCCGGTTGAACTCCTCCATAGGAGTTGTTCACCCTTCTATGGGGTGTTATGTAGCTTGGACCTGGATGTCAAGGATCAAAAGGCTTGCCTAATCCACCCTGTCTTGAAGCCTCGTATCTCGTTTGCCTCACGCAGCTTAGTCCTAGAATTTTGCCTCAATATTGTTCCATCATGACTCCCCCTGATGTGGACATTGGTTACAAGCTGCTTGTGGGTACTACCGTCACCTTTGTAAGTGCTTGTGTGGTGGTGATGCTCCGTGCAGTAGCACGGATTCTCTATGCAAGTTTGGGTTGGGACGATTACATGATGCTGTTTGCGGTGGTGAGTGACTCGAGCTTTTCTACAACACCTGTTCACAATTCATTATTAATATTAAAATAGGCTCAAGCATTAGTCGCCACGATATGTGATTTCCTTGCTGTTAATCATGGACTTGGACGTCACATGGTCTATTTGACCAAAAAGCAGATACCTCCCCTGCTGTTCTGGGACTATCTCGGGCAGGTGTTCTGTGTAAACGCCTTGACTTTTGCGAAAATCTCTATCTGTCTCTCTTATCTACGTATCTTGAGAGGCTCGCATCAACGCACTCTGCGCGTTCTTTGTATAGTCACGGCTGTGTTGGTATTTGTTGTCAACACGGTCGTTATCATATCCTTCTATGCCCGCTGCAACCCCACACATAAGTCTTGGGACCCATACCTGCCAGGCACCTGCTGGCCGGCAGCTACCGAGACGGGCTTGGTGATCTTGCAAGGATGTGAGTGAACTCTTCAACCTGCTCTGAATCAATTATTGACATTGGGCAGCATTTTCGGCGCTGACGGACTACTTCCTATCGGCCGTTCCCATCTTCCTCTTTAAGGACCTACAGATCAGTCGGAAGAACAAAATCGTTCTTTGTGGACTCATGAGCTTGGGTGCAGTGTATGTTATCCGTGATTGACTCCTCGATGCTTGGAAACATCATCGCTAACATCATTTTGCTTCTACAGCACAGGTATCTTTGCGACAATTCGTACGGTCGAGTCTGGGGAAAGTCTGACAGGCTCATCAGCCTCGGACTCAACATACACTACCGTCATGGGTCTGACTTGGGCTGGAATGGAGCGCAACATCGCCATGATGATTGCTAGTGTCCCTCCGTTGCGCCCATTGGCAGAGCCTGTCGTCCGGCTTACCAGTCACACCTTCTCTAACCTGATATCTTCCCGTCGTACCCAGAACAGCTATGAACTGGGCTCGCAAGCAACAATACAAAGCCCTGGTCTCGGGACACCCTCGAAGCATTATGCTTCTGCTAAGCAGGCGGCATTTGCCAAGGATGACCGCAGCACGAGCCTCGAACATATCCTCCCACCTCAGGTCAACACTACCTCGGTTGTTTAATAGCTATTTTTTACCTGAAAGTGGATTATAAAAATTCTAGCATAAGCACTATCTAATTCATTGTAGTCTGGACTCGCTTTAGGCCGATTCACCCCGTCAGATATGGGGGGAAAATCGCGCAAACTATATGCGTAATTAGTCTGATAGCAATCATTACGTAGGTCTCGGAATGAAGCGTAATATGCAGTCAGATTGGCCCCACAAGTGGAACAATACATGCTGCGTTATTCTTTTGTAATACGTGATGCAGGGCCTGCCAGCCTCGAGCAAGACATCACTGCCACGGGCGAGTTTAATCACAATCATGCATACATGCAACCCTCGGCTACGAGCTGTCAGCGCAGGACAAACCATAGCTCAAGCTAAAGTTGGCCCCCACACGGAAGGACTATCAGGTTAGGGTGATACTTCCTGTCACTGTATCTTGTCGGAGAAGCTAATCCTTTTCAGCCTGCCCCCCTCTTCCCATCACGGACGACGAGCTTTTTCATCCTGCCTCGAGTAATCGTCTCGTCCCACCAGAGTCCAGCCTCTGCCGATCTAACCGGTGCAGCTCTGGGCACAGACGGGGTTGACACCGAGTCAGCCGGACTGGGAATAGTATTCTCGCAGAAAGAAATGATATAAATACGTCCCCATATCTTCCCATACTTCTCTCATTCACTGTAATAGTACAAAAGACGAAATCCCTCTCTTTCCTTCAACCATCCATCATCCGTTCCATTCTCAGTCTCAATGGATGCCCTTCCTCCTGCTCTTCAGGCTCCAGTTGACTGTGGTCGACGCCTGCTGCCTGCTGTGCTAGATGAAGTTGCCATCACCGATCCCGAGCGGGTCTTTGTCTCTGTTCCACGCAATCCAGAGAACGTGTCGGCTGGCTTCCAAGATATCACTTATGCTACCTTTGCCCAAGCCGTCAATAAGTGTGCCTGGTGGCTACGGGACCGGGTGGGCATGCCCATCGATCCTCAAACCATTCTCTACATTGGTCCTCTGGACATCAGATACATCCTGATCATCATAGCCGCCGCTAAGGCTGGTCACACAGTAAGTGCACGACAGTCCCTGCTTGCTACAGTTCACAGCTCATTCCCAACTCCCAGGCTTTCTTCAGTTCTCACCGTAATAGCCTGGATGCCCATCTGTCTCTGGTAGAACGCAGTGGCTGCTCAGTTGCTCTGCGGCCAAAGCAGGCGCCAGCCGTCCTCGATCAAATCCTGAAGGCTCGATCCATGAAGGAGGTGGACATGCCTGAGCTGGATTTCTGGTTCACAGACCTGGACCAGGTCAATCCTCTTCCTTTCACCCTAACCTGGGAGGAGGCTCGCTACAAAACCTTCTGCATCCTACACACCTCCGGCTCGACCGGTATCCCCAAGCCCGTCTTCGTTCCCTACGGTAGTCTGGCCAGCAACGACGCCCATCAGCTCATTCCCTCTCTCGGAGGGAAGCCCACCCTGATGAACTACCTGAAGGGGAAGCGGTTCTTCCTAGCCCTGCCAGTCTTCCATGCCGCTTGCTTGACATTCGTCCTAGCATTCAACATATTCTCCGGTGTGACTGTCGTCCTCCCGCCCCCAGGACCACTCACCTCCGACGTCGCCAACGAAGTCATCACTTCCGCCAACCTCGACGGTGCGCTACTGGCACCATCACTGATCGTGGACCTATACAACAACCCCATCCATCGCCAAAACCTCATCAAGCACCTCAACCTTCTCTCCTATGTCGGCGGCTCCCTCCCCAAAGCCGTCGGAGACGCCCTCTCAACCCAAGTCAAATGCATGTCCATCATGGGCACATGCGAGACCCTACTCTTCCCGCTCGAGATGAACGACGACCCAGCAGACTGGGAATACGTAACCGTGAGCCCCTTCTTCGGACACGAATTCCAATCCAACCGTGACGGTCTATCAGAGCTAGTCCTCCGCCGCCAACCCAACCACGAGCTCTTCCAGGGCGCTTTCTACACCTTCCCAGACAAGCAAGAGTACCGCTTCGGAGATCTATTCGCGCAACACCCCCACCGCCCAGAGTCCTGGGTATTCCGGGCGCGAACAGACGATATTATCGCTTTCACCACCGCCGAAAAGCTCAACCCCATCACAATGGAGAGCGTGATTGTAGCCAGCCCCAAGGTCAAGTCCGCCGTTATCGGCGGTCAAGGCCAATTCCAGGCCTCGGTGTTGATTGAGCCATATGACTATCCGGCCTCACCCGCGGAAGAGGAACAATACATCCAAGAGATATGGCCGTATATCACCAAGGCGAATCGTGGATGTCCCGCTCACGGCCGCATCATGAAAGGCTTCGTCATGCTCACTTCCCCGGATAAGCCGCTTCCGCGCGCCGGTAAGGATACCGTTCAGCGTCATGCGGTTTTCAAGCTCTACGCTGCGGAATGGCAGGCTCTGTATGATAGGATGCGTCCTCATGTCGCTGCCCCTGTCCCTACTTCTTCTTCTTCTTCTACTACTACTTCGTCATCTCCCTCGCTCTCACCCTCTACCCCTCCTCTCCGTGCCGACTCCCCCACCCCCACAAGTAAATCAGCATCAGCCCTAACCACCGAAATCGAAGAAGTCCTCCAACAACTCCTCCCTAAAGCCGTCGAGACAGCCGTCGAAAAAGCCATGCAGGGCGTTCTCACTCGTCTTCTGACAGGTCTCACTACTGGTTCTGCGCCTGCTCTTTCCCCTCCTACATCTCCCTCCTTATCCTCCTCCTCTTCCCCCAAAGCAGACTCTGCCCATATCCCCAAACCCGACCTTAAAACCTTCATTCACGCCCACCTCACAGAAACATTAGATCAGCAGCAAGCCTGGACCGACGACTCGGATCTATTCCAGTTTGGTCTCGATTCGCTCAAGGTCATCGAGTTGATTGCGGAGGTGAATAGGTTTCGGAAACAGTGGGATCCGAATGCTGCCCCGGTGGATCAGAAGCTTATTTATGCGAATCCGTCGGTGAATCAGATGGTTGGGGTTATGAGTGGGTAGATCTTTTTCTTTTCTTTCTGTTTATCCTTCTTCGTTGATGTCTACGTCATGGTCATGTTGGTTTTGTACATTGTTATGTATATCTCTGTTGGAATCTATCAAGTAGATTTAGTAAACTGGGTTTGAGATTTTTTTTTTTTGCTGCTTTGGCTGTGAGATAAATCAACATTTATATTCCCAAGAGCTGCTCTCGAAGCCAATCAAATATTGCCTTAGCTACACCGTTGGCGCTATAATCCTTGTCTGGAATGATTTTCCATAGTTGCACAGTGATTGGTTTATCAATATCAGTAAAGTTCTGCCGAAACTTGAAGACGGTGTTCCGGAAAGAGTTAATATCTTTCGGACTTATTTCCCCGGATGGATCAAGTCGCAAAATTATAAGATACAGCTAATAATAATGAATACTAGACTCCTAGAGATCAGTGAGTATTAGAAAACATCAGCTTCACAAGATAAGAAAGTAGGGTTTCTGGGCGTGACTTATTGGGGTTCAGGCGGGGAGGTTGAGCGTTCAGGTGAAGGAGGATGATGCACCGTTCGCTTTGTTCGAAAGCGTTAGATGCTCAATCTAGTGAGATAAAAGGGATCAAACGTGTGTCTGTATTCTCTAGGACGAAGATGAAGATGAGCTAAATACATGCAATCATCGGAAACGATGTAGTGTAGTCGGCTTCTTCATTCCTGAAGGGGAAGGTGCCCGTTGCAGATGAACAACCGCCGTAGGTGAACAGGATGAAGAGAGAGAAGCACGGCCACTAAATCTGATAACTTACAGGAGTGAAAAAAAAAAAAAGATCAAAAACATACAACAGAAGGGATTCGCTGGTGGTCACCCACCCAACTACTAACCTCCCGGCGTGTGGCTTAAGTACGGCTGAGCGGACGGGAAGCCCTGTTTTCCACACCCTGTGGTCGTATGTACTTATTCTATAGTGGGAAGGGGTTATATGATTGCTAGTAGTTATTATATGTCAGAAGAGGCGAGAGTTGCGTGGTGTATGTTCACAATATGCAGGGCTGCGCTGCAGCTATAGGTTTGGATCGGAATATGATGTTGAAGCTTGTAAGGCATGAAAAGGTATGTCTTCCTTCAAAGCTGCTCTACACACAATTGGATAGTGTTAGTTTGCTTGGTTCAGGTTATTAGAGATTGCCTTCAGGAATGAAGTAAGAATCTACTACTACTTCTACAGTGGGTGCTATGCTTTTGCTTCAGAGTATACAGCCAATGGTTTTTTATATTATAAATAAAGGACTGTGTAACGGCAAAGTGAAAGAAGATTAGCAATTATCTGAAATGCACAGAGCGCACCACAGCTCTTCAAACTTTCTTTCAGTCGAGAGAAAGGAAGGCAAACCCCTTACTCGTCGCAAGAAGCGCCAGAGGGAACGTTCTCGCATTTGCTGCTGGTCTTACCGCCGGTGATGTCAATGTCGGACATGGTCCAGTCAGTGCAGCTGCCGTCACCGCAAAGGATGTAGATCTCGACAGCGTCGGAGTCAACCGAGCCTTTGATCTCCTCGAGTTTAACATCGGAGATAGTAACACCGTTGGAGGGGGTACCGGTAGGGTCACCGTTCTCGTAGTCCTGCTCGATGACGATACCGTAGTCGGAGATGCCGGAGAGCTTGATGTTGGAGTAGGTGATGTCCTCGACGGTACCAGTAGCATCATAAACGGTCTTGATGCGAACACCGTTCTCGGAGTCAGAGACAGTCGAGTCGATAAAGGTGACATTCTTGACGGTGTTGTCGTCGCGGCCACCGACAGAGCCGATGGACAGACCATGACCGCCGGAGCAGGTACCGCCGGAGAAGTAGATGTTCTCGCCGGAGTTGATGGCGACGCAGTCGTCCTGGTTCTTGACGGTGGCGCCGGTGATGGTGATGTAGGTACTCTCACTGATGTCGAAACCGTCGGTGTTGTGGCCGCCCTCGGAATCACCGTCGCTGTTGTCGATGGTGACGTCCTCGATCACGAGGTTGTCCGACTCGACGGAGATGGCCTGGACAGGGGTGTTCTTGATGTAGAGACCGGAGATCTTGGAGTCATCAAGATCGTGGGCGTAGAAGAACTTGGGCTTGGTCTTGCCGCCGTTGGTTCCCTCACCGTCCCACCACTTAGCACCGTTGCCGTCGAGGACGGCGTCCGAGGACTGGGTGACGGTAATGTCCTTACCGGAGATACGGAGGAGGGGTCCGCTCCACTCCTTGTACTCCCAGGTGGTGGTTCCCTCAAAGGTGACCTGGTGTCGCTGTTAGAACGGCACTGACGCTAGGGCTGGGGAAGGCTTACGGTGGTGCCATCGTTGAGGTCCTCCAGGTTAAGGGTCTTGCCGGCAGGGACGGTGATGTCCTTGAGGACGATGTCGGTGCAGGAGGACTTGCTCTCGGAGGCCTTAGCAGCATCAGTGAAGGTGCAGGTGGACCGCTTGTTGAAGTCGGTGGCGCGGGAAGGCGCAGGAGCAGCCAGAGCGGCACCGGCTAGGGTCGCGAGGCAGAACAAAGGCTTGGCAAAAGGCATGGTTGCGAGTTGGATGGTTATCTGATCAACAGAGTAAATGAAAGACTGGGTAGTTCTGGTCTACAGAAGAGAGATGAGTGAAAAGAGAGAAGGAATGAATGGTTGGCTTGCGCTGAAGAACAAAGGAAGCTGCAAATCCGGCGATGAGCTGGGGTCTTATATACCCTAGAAGCAAGCCTCCGTTGCGACTCATTTTAATCTCTTGATGCATTAAACCTAGCTGGGTCAGGCAAAACTTCGGTAACAAGCCGTGAGAGAAGCTCTCATAACGCGAAGGATTGATCTAATGCTGCCTGCATGGGTTGAGAATGGGTGGCACCTGGGAGCCATCAATCTCTAACGACCCATCAAGGCTAGAAGGGCACTAAATAAATGGGTTGACGCGGCAATTTCTTAATCGAACTTGGCTTTAAACGTGGGCCCGAGCCTATCGCGGAGCGTCCCGATAACATCGCACACAGCAAATCGGATTATGCTTCAGCCACCCGTCTCAGAGACATCAAGCCCCTTTTCGGCAGTTGATGTTCTTACAGCTGCTGATCTTCGGATTTTCTCACGGGAGATTTTCATCCCCGTCCCTTGTATGACAGAAAAATATGGCTTAACCTATGATCAACTCTGTTGCACGTACGAACCAGGGGCCCATGGTCCGCGATCCGATTGTGCCGATGAGATGAGGTCCACTCCACCCAAAGGAGTCAACCAGGCCGAGTCACACCGTTCGGGATCTTCGCACCATAGGGAGCGCACACGGAGGATTGAAACACCACTAATCTCAGTGCCCCTTTCGGGCGTCAATGATACGGGAGAACGGCGGAGACTAGTCCCAGAATTCTTCTAATTTTCCAAATGAAGTTCATATCAGCAGCGTACATAGCGATGTTAAAATGCCGATCAATTCCCATTACGTTGGTATGGGGCATACCATTCCCCACCCAGCGTCGCCAGTCGGCATCATCAGGGGGTTTGGGCAATTAAGTCAAGCTCATCTCGGCAAATCCAGAGGCAGGAGGAACGCATGTGTCCAGGTTGCAGGGTCCGGCGTTACGGAGCCAAAAGGTAAGTGCATTAGCGCCCACATCGAGAACGGCGTGACGAAGGCTATGGCCATACAACTGAGGAACGGAGAAACGGAGCACAAGCTTTCCCTTTCTTCTAGAGATGCCTCGAAGCTTGGGTCTATTTTTGTTAGTAGTCTCAGCTAAACCCACATCAACGGAAAGGCATGGTCCATATGCCCCTTTCAGGTCTGGACTAAGCCGAGGCCATGGCCGAAGCAATATCGGCATGCCATTCGTATCTACGGCCTCGTAACGAGCACTGCTCTCAAGCAAGGCATGCAGGTCCCATAGTGCTTCAGGATTATAGCAGGTACCACCGTTAATTTGCATCAGAAAACGGATTCCTTTGGTATATTGCAAGTATTCCAGATTGGCCGGTTGTAATAGCCTCCAATTAGAAAGCGGCTTGCAGTAATTGCTCAAACGGCTTCCCGAGTCATTGGTATATTTGCTACCGTCTGATCGTCCCAACGCTGTAGGGCTTTCGGCATCCGCGTAAAGTTTGGAACCCTTCAGCAGGAAAGGGCCCTTTCTTCCCCGTAGGCTGGAATGGCGCAATCCGGTACAACGTATATCCATCACCATGCCTGGTGGGTTCGGGATAGAGGCCAGTCCCTGTGCGAAGTGGATCAGAGAGGAGTTAAAGTGAAGTAGCGGAGCCAGGCTGTTGTGGACAGCCCCTAATAAAATCCGCAGGGCTCCTATAGGCTCCTGAACGAGCCATATAGTGCTTGTATGCACGCTTGTCTACATGATGAAGCTTGTCGCAAATATGAGGGGCATAGCAGCTGCCCCTTTGCGTTCAGTGGGTCTTGGGGAGGTATTCAAGGGACATCACGAAATTACCTTCCCTCTGCCTTAATTGAAATGTAGATAACTTTCAGGTTTTGAAAGTCTGTAAAGAACAGCGCATTAGGTTTGTTGGTTGTCATTTTGTCGAAGCATCTGTGAGATAAGCCAAAGAAATGGCAGTAGTCCATCTGCTGTTGCAGTGGTCATGTGACGAACAGGGATCATCGTGCTCTTTGTCCCTTTTGCATACATCCTTCTGCCTTGTCATATCTCTTCCCTTTCCTCTGTATTCTCTCCGCACTTGGGCGGATGAAGAGAAAGTTCTACACTACCCATGTGAGCCGAAAGTTTCTCAACACTCGATCAAAGAACCTTGAAAGCCGCGTGACTTGTAATAGTGCGATAAATTTAATTCTAGAACGTCATTTTTACTCGGCAATCTGGCTTACCACATCGCAAGACACACCTCACTTCAAGATGCTGGGAAACTAGCTCGATGTGCAAGATAAAGTGGCCAGCCCAACGGCTGCAACAGCCCTCAATTGTCGGCAACCGACAACCTGATACCCAAGCGGGCATGACTTTGACAGAATACCATGGAACAAACTGAATGATTCCTTCTGACTCCTCTTGCCCTCCACCACAATGGTTACAACATCCTGGTGCACAGTGTCTGTAATAGTAGTTACGGCTCATGCAATTAACTATAAGCGAATAACCTAGCCCAGTCATAAATATAGGAGAACCAACCATCACCGCCACAAGATCCATTTCCCCCCCCCCAAACAACACATTATTCCCAATTTAAACCTTGTCAACCTTCTCCTCAACAACTCCCTTCAACCCTTCCTCAAGTTTTACCTCCTTCTGCAGCGTCGCCGCATCCGCATCCTGCGCCCCTGCAACAGCCGTCTCAAAGCGACGGCCGCGCTTCTCAGGTCCAAACGCAGTGGTAACAGCAATGCCCGTCGCAATTATAGCCGTAGCGACCCCCATGACGGGTCCATACGCGGGAGCAGGTTTCCCCGATGAAGAAGTCACGAAGGTCTTTTCGGCAATTGCGTTGACGATCTGCGCGGAGGGAGAGGAGATCATATTTCCGACTTGATAGGTTATTCCTATAACAATTTAAAATGTGTTAGCATCCCCAATTAGAATAGTGGAATAAGTCTGCCGCTATCGATAGAGAAATGATGGAGACAGCGAACGAACCAGGAAACGAAGACCGGAAAGCAGGAGGCGACAGCTCGTTGAGATGGATTGGGATCACGCCCCATGCGCCCTGAATGAAGAATTGGATAAAAAAGCCCGTCACGCTGAGGGCGCGCTCGCCTTCAGGTAGGATCCAGGCCGGGATCAGAATACCGGATATTATGGCGGAGACGATGATGGCGCGACGGCGACCGAAGAACTGTGAAAGGTAGCCGATGATGGTGCCACCGACGCAGGCGCCGGTTTTCATGAGGATAGAGGCACGGGAGGCGGCGGCATTGTTCAGGTCTTTTTGTGTGAGCATGAAGGTTGTGTAGGAGTCTTGCGAGGTGTGTGAGTAGTAGTTGAACTGTTAGGGGGATGGAGGTGAGGTGTTAGCTTTGTTGGTTTAGGCATTGGGGCTAGGGACATACCCAGGTCATGAGGATGACGCAGTAGACACACATCTTCCATTCTTGGGCAAGCATTTGTTTAGTTTCGCGCCAGAAGGCTCCAGGGTCGGAGGAGACTCTCCCTGCCTTTTTGGCTTCGATGAATTGCTTCGATTCGGGGAAAAAGATGCGGATGACGCCGACGCCGAGAGAAATGCCAGCTGGGGGTGTTTAGAGTCTCTTTGAAGTTAAGTGGTATCGATATCTAACTAACCTGCAATCCAAAAGACCGTCTTCCAGCTATCTGTCGCGCCGCCCACGCCGAGATTGGCACATGCTGCTAGGACGTATCCGAGTGAGTAACCTTGCTGCAGAATGCCGGACATGAGACCGCGAGCGCTGACGCTAGAGGTTGTCAGTGAGGTGAGTAGAATATGCTCTTAATGTATCACACTTACGGGCAATGTTCCAAAGCCATGGCAATTGCGTTACCATACACACCTCCCATGAACAAACCGAAGAGGCTGCGAACTGCCAGGAATTGCTGGAAAGTGTGGCTATAGATCGTGGCGATCTGGAGCACGCCGAGGACAATCATATTGAGGACCATTGGCCACTTGCGTCCAAACTTATCACCGGCAAGACCAAAGAATGCAGCTCCCACGCTTCTCAAGAGCAAAGTGAGAGTAATGGCTGTGGTCACATCTGTTTTGGAGCGGCCATAGTACTTAGAGAGCTTCACAGTCTGGATTGACAAAGCATGAAAGTCAAAGGCATCTGCAGTCCATGCAATGAGACCAACGATGAAAAACAGCCAATCCCGGGCACTCAGCTGAAGCATCATATTGATGGGGTTCTGAAGACGATCCGGGGCTTGCCATTCTGTGTGAGTCTCACCATGCTCGTTGGTCACCACAACTCGCTGCTTCCATTTGAATAGATCCCCCCATGCCTGTTTGGCAGTAGCCAGGATACCGTCGGCGGGAGGTTCTGCTGGTTCATTTGCAGTGCTCATTGTTGCTCGCTTTAGGCTTTATAGTGCTTTGAATTCTTGTAAGAGAGAGGGAAGATTAATACGCTGATGCATGCGCCCTCCAATGCATCTACCCCCCTCTCTTTATAACTCTGCTGCATTCACTGTCACCGTGTCAAGTGAATTCCCACCCAGCACCCCACATCAGGTGATGGGATCAATCTCCGCATATTCCCCAGATTTTCGTCCGTTCTTCCCCGCGAGCAATCTTGGGATTGGGCGGGCCAAGGTTGCGCCAAGCAGTTGGGCGGCATGCTCTCGTCCATGCGCCAGCAAATGTGCCAGCCACGCGACATGGGGTCCGCTCAACATCACTAGTAGTTCCGACCCTATCGTGAGTGTTGGGAGTGAAGGAAAAGGTTTATGCCAAGGCCAAGAGAGAGGGGTTTGTCCCACTGCCATTAACAGTGGCGGTGATGGCGGTCCTGTGGCACGAGTGCAGGCAAGGGCCTGCTCGGTGAAGTTGGCCATGCGGGCTGGGCAAGCGCCTGTTTAGGGCTGTTCCTCTATCTAAGCAGACATGGCTACTGGAAGTATTGGAATCAATTATTGCCTTGCGTGAGGATACTAGATGAGGTAGCTTCAATGGCCAGAGCAGACGCGTTGTTGGTCGGATATCTAATGTGGACCTGTGTCACAGTGAGTCAATTTCTGTCTTTTACCAGGAAATTACTACTGCACCGACCTCGGAATAATACAACCTATCGACAACAGAGACGCCCTTGGCAAACCTTCAAACGCACGAGGAAGGAGGCGCAAATCACGCTCTGCGGGGGTTATATGCTGGGGCATATATCCCTCCGTCCGCTATCCAGATAGACACAACTTCTCGTTTTTTTTTTTTTGGTCTACTTGCTGGCGCTTTGACATGGTACAACCCAAAAATCCGTTTTGGCGAATCATTTGCGCACGAAAGTTGCAAAAGGAGAGAAGCAAGAAGAAGTCCGGGTTAAATCGGAAGGGCAGAACAAAGAAACAGAGCAGATCATCGTTTCCTTTGTAAGTAGGACTTGATTGATACCATCATTCCTGCTCTTGTTGATCATATTTTGCCATCTTCAGCAATAGTGTATGTCTCTGGGAAAATGTCCACTATTGATGGCCTTCCTTCTTTCCATACTCAGCTCCCGCTATAGTTTGACTTGGCTGGTAACTTCTCATAGATCATAACAGTCGTTCTTTTCCTTTCATTATCCTTTGACCTAACATCGATGTCATCCTCAACCTAAATTTCCTTTTATTGAATTTTCTGAAGAATTTAGCATTCAGCCTTTACCGCAAGATAGCATTGATTGCCATAGTAGCTATGGCTCTAACCATTGCCGTCTCACTTTTACTCCACGGTAATGAATAGAGAGCGATCTGGCAGCCAGCCTGGTTCTGGGACTGGCGAGAGAGCCTGAGGGACTCTGGAGGCCCTCTCGAGGGGGAGTCTCCTTAGAAGAGAGACCCTCTTCGAGCAGAGATTAGCCTCATTTTTTTTGCGAAGGCTGATCTGGGGTTCTCCTCTCGCCGGGGCCCTCCCGGCGATGGCGACCATGTCGCTTTTGGTGTTGCATGAACAGCAGATAAGCCCCGGCCGCACTGGGAACTGTCTGCTCAACAACATGCTCGGTTTTCTATGCCCTAGGCTTCTGGCGGTGACTGCCAAGGTCAGGAAAAGCCCAGCTGTTATCCTCACCCACCAAACTTATTCTGACTGTCGTTTAATTACTGCGTGCGTCTTCATCAGACATGTCCATGCTGCACATCACTGGATTGTGTAGAGTTTTGAGCCCGAAACTCACGGTCGGGGAAATTCTCTTGAGATTTGAAAGTCAATTTGATGAACGTCTCAGGTACGGTCTAGGACATTGTATCGAACACATATGATGAAGCCGACTATTTATCAAGCTGATGCCGGCAAAACAGTCAGAATCCTGTTCCTGAGTCCTGCAAGGGTTGAAACCAGCCCTAGTAGTAATAAACGCGTTAGAGTTGATCAAACTATGGACCGTGCGTCAGTGGCTGGAGGGGAAGAGAATGTCAAGTTGAGCAAATCAAGGAGGTCAGTATGAGCGATTATTGTCGTCCACAACTTGGGTCTTTGCCATCTGCAGTGCAACTCCTCTTGCTGTCTCGGAAATGGGCACTGCCCCAACCAAACATGTTTCTCCCCGATTAATTGGCAATAAATGGTGGGTCATCGTCCCGTATATATCTCTTTTGTGTTCCCAGTGACGAGACTGACATATTCACCGGTCGATCAGTCAAGCCAGCCCAACTCACTCTTGTGATGCAGCTCATTGAGGCATTTGTCGGCTTCCAATAGCCACTCTCCTTTCAACACGCAAGGAGCCGATCTCGGACTATTTATTTCAATCAACAATCGAGACTCTGCCGACCAGACCAATTTGTTCTTCTTCTCAGCCGTTTTACCTCAAGAGCTACCCCGACCGACTGAGGCATCTCACGCATGCCCCCACGCGAGTCCGTGGTCGACAATCCCAAGTCACCCCTACGCCGCTGTCACCACTACATCTACATCATCTCCTGGGCTCTATTATCGTCGCTTATTCTTTACTGCGCCGGAGGAATATCTTACGTCGATGCCTTGCTTCTCGCCTCCGGCGCAGCAACACAGACCGGCCTCAACACGGTAGATCTCAATCGCCTCCATGTAGTTCAACAGGTCACCCTGTTGGTGGTGTCGATGGTCACCAATGTCATCTTTGTCCACTCGCTGCTCGTGGTGATCCGTCTGTATTGGTTCCGGAAACGTTTCAAGAGAGCCATCAATGAGGCAAAGATGATGTGCCGCGCACAGCGGAATACCCTGAACCAAAGGCTTGCCGACGTGGAGAACGGACCTTCTCGATCATTCTCGCGCGAAAGACCATCGGAGGACACGCCGTTACTTTCAACAGTCACCGAGGAGAGCTTGACTGCCTCGCCGAGCGAGTCGCCAGGGGGCAGGAAGTATGGCGCAACCGGCTCCATGAGCCCGCACATCACCTTTTGTGAGACGGACGCCGAGCACGAGGTAAAGCAACGTCGACGGACATACTCTGGTACCTGGTCGCGTCGCTCCTTTCCTGAGATTGATAGTCCACAGCGGCGACGATCATTCTCCGAGATGCAAAATGACATGCCGCCGCTGCCGTCGTTGATGTGGCAGTCGTCGATTGCCAGTTACTCCGATTGGAATGAAGCGCAAAAAGAGGAGCTTGGAGGTATCGAGTATCGAGCCTTGAAGACGTTGTTTGTCATCCTTGTTTGCTATTATGTGGTCATTCACCTGCTGGGAGCCTTGCTCTTTCTGGTATGGATCCTACCCAATAAACACTATGGTCAGATCCTTGCAGACAATGGCCTCAGCCGGCCTTGGTGGGCTATTTTCACAGCCGGCTCTGCCTTCAATGATCTGGGATTCACATTGACCCCAAACTCAATGGGGTCGTTCAATACTGCGGTGTTCCCGCTACTGGTGATGACCTTTCTCATTGTGCTGGGAAATACCGGGTTCCCGTGCATGCTCCGCTTCATCATATGGACACTATCGCAGTTCACTACGTATGGCAGTCCCCTCGACGATGAGCTCCAATTTCTTCTGGATCATCCGCGACGTTGCTTCACATTGCTCTTTCCTAGCACCGAGACCTGGCGACTAGCCGCAGTCCTCCTGCTCATCAATGCTATAGACTTGATTATCTTCTACACCCTCCAAGAGGTGAGTTGACCCAGAAGAACAAAACCTCACCTGAACCAGTTTACTCATGACCTCATCAGTTCCCTCATCCCAGCCCCATATCAGCCGGCCTCCGCCTCGTAAATGGGCTGTTCCAAATCGCCTCTACCCGTACCGCCGGCTTCACCATCGCCTCATTAGGTACTCTCCACCCAGCCGTGCAAGTTTCATTCGTAGGGATGATGTACATCTCCGCATTTCCCATCGCGATCGCCATGCGCAAAACCAACGTCTATGAAGAACGCAGCCTCGGCATCTACAACGAAGAGTACGACGAGCATGACAAGCCGCACCAATCCGACTCCCTAGGCGCTCATATCCAACGTCAGCTGGGATTCGACTTGTGGTTTGTCATGTTGGGGTTTTTCTTCGTTGCCGTCGCCGAGGGGAAACGTCTGCAGGAGAATCGAACGGACATTGCCTTCTCGCTCTTCCCGATCCTGTTTGAGATTGTGTCTGCATACGGTACTGTGGGATTATCCATGGGATACCCTGGTACGGAGACGAGTCTGTGTCGGGAATTCAATGGCTTGTCCAAAGTGATTGTCATTGCGATGCAGGTGCGTGGCCGCCATCGTGGTCTACCACATGCGCTCGATCATGCGATACTGCTGCCATGTGATTTAGTGGAGCCCGACGAGCAGGGACGGAGGCCAGAGTGGTGGTGGAAACGGTGGATCAGGAAGAAGAGCTCCGACCTGGGGAACTTGTTTACGCATGATTGACAGTTATTCAGCATGTATGAGCATAACTGCCTCCTCGGCATGTATCCATCGTAGTTCCAGTATGAACTGCAGGAATGTATTGCATGTCATAACATAAGCCTTCCCTGCATAATTGTTATCGATCGGATTGAACAATATCTCCACAATATAACACTAACAGTTTAACACTGCTGATATTGCTATGTTCCTCGGCAGCGCCGGGGATCCATCCTCAAACTCCGCCGGGTGGCAACTAAGACCACTGTTAAAGCTGAGGCATTAAAGTGCTCTGCATTACTACTACTAATTGTTCAAGCATAATACATTAAGCTATTCATAGTTGATTATGCTTGCATGTATTTATTCTTTTATGTAACCAGGACCCTTGATCACATCGCCACCTACCCACCCACCTACCCACTCCGTTCTGACTGTCAAGCACAAGTCCCTTGAACACCACCAACAACAACACTAAATGAGATGCATAGGGTGTACTACTATCGACGATAATCGCACATGTTATCCCCCTATCTACGGAGGCCGTACCTAAACCACCCCGCGAAAACCGGAACCCAGAGAGAAAATCGAGAAGGAAGCCAGTGACTCATTCAGTATCAAGCCTCAAGCCTCAATCATCACTCATCACGAGTAGCTAATTAATCACTCAATCAGCAAGTGAAATCCATCACAAAATCTCTGAGCCCACCCTCGGCCCGAGAGATCAACTCCGTAAAGAAAGTCATCTCTACTAATCATTAATTCCCAGATACCGAGAACCAAAACCCAAAGTGAGAAGGAAAAATAAAACCGGCAGAAAAAAAAAAAAGGAAGAAAAATATTAGGTAAAAATCCCGACCCGACTACAAGGCTGAAGGAAAAAAAAAGATTTATTTTAATTTATTCCGTGTATCCGATGATTCATTCTTCATATGGGGTTTTCTCATTTATGATTGATTAGTGGGCTTTAGAGGGGATGGTTTGAACCATGGGTCAGATCACGGGGTTGGTGGTTTTGGTTTGCCGGTTCCGGCATATCCTTTGCAGTGTTGCTGCGTGTCGGTCGGAGGTTGGGAGTGCGAATCGCCGATATCCCGTTCTTCTGACTCCCACTTCCTTGTCTGCGACGGGTAAGTGGGTGGGTGGGTTGTGCTGGGGAGATAGGGATTAGGAATTCCGGGATGGAGTTGGGTTATGTCCGATATACTTTGATACTATTATTCTGGTATACTTTATTGGTGTTATGGGGGTAAGTAGGTGCGTAGGTTTGCAGTGGTGTGTGTATTACCATGGACGTAGAGGGGGAGTGAGTGATTATTAATGCTTCTGTCAGTTTGTGTCAGACGTTAAGGTTGTGGTTAAGATAGTTTCAAATCAAGATAGTGTTTCGAAGATGGGTCAGTAGGGATACGAGGACCACTGCTGCTGCTGTTGTTATTCTTGGGGATGGTTAGGTGATGGATGATAAATCTGTGGGGGATTAGGTGAAGTGGTCGGGATATGAGGTCAACACTTTCTGCTTCGTAATGTTTGCTGGATTTGCAGGGATCTGATGTCGTGACGTCAATCAGAATTAATCCAGACCCGGCTCTCTATATTCTATTGTGTGTTGATCATCATCGAGAGATAGTATCTGGGCGTGAATAGGAAATGATATGTGTATGTTCTAGAATCCACAGTCGTGGCGGATCAGGCCGTCTGTATTATCATGATGATGGTGGTGATGATGATGATGGAGATGTCAGCGTGGCCAATATGAATGTCAAGATCATTGTTTGCCAGGCCAGGTTGATACGAGCGAGTCAAGCAATGATGTGGACTCCTGTCATTGGACTCCCCGTCTGCACAGTCCTTTGCTGGAGCGAGGGTGTGGCAGTAAACAAAGTTCTGGTGTTGCTATACAGGTAGGGACCAAGTATGGGCGCTGGCAGCCTGAAGCCATGACAGCGGTAGCGCCCTCCCGGTCGCCCCGAGGCAGTGGTTGCGGGTGTGAAGATACTAAACGAGTCCAGAGAGGTGGTTGATGTGGTTAACATTCATTGTCATTCCCTGGGTTGAGTAAGCTTTGGCTGATTAACCTTCACGAGCAAGCCTCGAGCAGTTAACTAGTTTAACTGCAGACAGGCTGAATCAGGCACTTGGTAGGAGATCTCCGTCAGGTCCCATCCCTCGTATTTCTGTTTTAGGGGAGAGCTGGATGCCATGTCAGATTCTCTTCTGTCTCTCTCCTCCCTTTTTCGCCCCACCGGCCGGATCCAGACGTGGTTTGAGGGAACACAGCAACATTCCTTGACACGCTGGGCGTTTTCATCGTGGACTGGTTGCTGAGACTGGATGGATCCAGACATTCATCCTGTACGAGGGAATTGCGATCGTCTCTTCTAAATATGTTCATTACTATTATTTGGTTATTGAAGGGGTGAGATTATTGTTCTCAGCTCTGTTCTCTTTGAGGAAACAGACTATCATCAACTGATAAAATCACATGACCCACTAGCCACGATAGTTGCTGACTAGTCTGCTGCTCCCCACAAAATCCCCATCGAGGCTGTGTAGATACTAGTAGATAGATGTAAGGTTTCAGATAGACGACAGATTAACTGATAGCAAACCAAAACCAGCACGTTGATTATCTTCATGATAGTCCAGCCCCCTCAACACGATTACGTACGATTTCCGCCCCCATACTTTCCCTATTAGCGAGACGACTTCGCGAAACACAGCCATCTCCAATACGTACTCAGCCAGCCAGGGGGTGATCATCAAGTACTGCGGAGGTGGAGGCAGGCAGGCAGGCAAGCAGGGCGTCGCCAAGAGCAGGACACGTTTGTCGCTAGCGGTCAACCCTCACAGATGGAATCAACACAAATAGCCCAACTCGGTAAGTTAGCTACCCAATTTGCGGTGGTGCCTTGATCAGAACTCTCTACGCGATCAGGGATACTTGCCAAGCCTGGCTTGGACGTGCGGCTCTCCGCACAGGCAGACAAAGCGCACACGCCTATCATATTGTGATGGGCAGGCAGACTCCCCCGGATTCTACTACTAGTCGGCTTAGCAGGCAGATACAAACTGATTACTTGTACCTTGTAGGCACTGATCAATTAGAGGCGTGAAATGTGGCAGCCTGTGGGAACTTCCATCGCCGAGTCCTGCCTGGCTTACGTGGGCTTTGCAAAGGCTGCCAGACTGAAAGAAAGGAAGCGAGATTATGCACGCGTACTCCATACAGTACGCGATATCCAATCCATTCAGCGAATTCGGAGGTATCAAGGGAGTGAGCAAAAGCAGGCAAATGTTAGTAGGTAAGATAGGAAAGGAAGGAAGTACGCATAACTCCGTGCCCGTCGTCGTATTCGCTTGGCTAGTTAACCTCCCAAGGTACACGCGCCTCGGCCCTCGCGAATTATTGACCACCGCCCGGGATTGCTGCTTCCGTGCACAGGTCAATCAATCCCTTTCCCCAATGTATTAGCATTAGCTAGTGCAGTGCACGCACTTGGGTCAATGCTCTTGCCTGCCAAACGAATACGCTGGACGCCGTAAACTTTCTTGTTATCCCTCGGGTCACAATCAGAGTGCATGGTGCTTGCTGATTATTATTCTGCGCGACCGGAATACGCGTCTACTTCCACGGTTGGTCACTTGGTATACATCTCGCTCAGGAACGTCGCTGTCCCCGGGTGGGGATGTGACTGGTGTCCTCGACTAGACCCATTACAGTAGTGAGGCTGGCCAAGTTAGGGGACTCCTGGTTCTGCACCGTGAGCTTATGAATCGGGAATGCTGATTTCAAAGCGGACAGAAGTGTCATTACTACAGACTACACAGTGAGTAGGTATGACGAGCTGGCGCATTGACCCTAGGCGGCTCATTCAGAACCAGCTGGCCCCTTTGGTCCCGTGGAAATAGCAACCTTCACGGATGATGGGAGAAAGGGAGTACAGTTAGTAATCGGGGGTTCTGGCATGAGACGGAGCGAGCGATGACTGGGCATCTGCTGGAATTTTCTAGGCTTAGGAGCTCCCGTCAGCCGGAAATAACGGCGCGGAAAGATTGGTCATCCGACGCCCCGTCCAGGGTTTTTTTATTTTTCATCCCAAATAATTTTATTTTTCTTTGCTGGGCTGGGCTGAGCGGTGATCGTCCACACGGAGTTAGCGGGCGGAGCCTGGCCGTGACTCATTTTTAGGAGTGATGATTGGGTCGAGCGAGGGGCGGTGAACTAACAGTTGCCTTTTCGAGCGAGGGAAATCGGCCCTGGTGGATCCGGCACCCTCCTTCCGATCCACGGATGGGCATCGATGGTTTCTGCCTCCGAAGGTCCGATTCCATATCCCTTCTAAACCCCGGTGCGTGAGAAAAAAAAGGTAAAAAAGTAAACTAAGGTTAATAATGGAGATAGGATTAGAAAAACGGAGAAAACACTGAGTAACGAAAAAAAGAAATCAGCAGGAAAAAATTATCAGCCTAGAAAGTGGATATATCATATTAAATTGGTCCCTGTCTCCCGGTTGATCACTTTTTTCTTTCCCTACACAGGTCTACTCAAGTACATACACAGTACCTATTTCCTTCCTCCACATACAGACTACATACACACCCATCGCTTTAGGGTGACCACCTCAGACCGACTCTAGTACTGCTGTGCACCATCCTACATACGCACACAGGACATTACTCAAACCACATACCTCCAACACATCCGCTTTCCCCGCCACTACTGCTGCCTCATCCTGCCTGTTGTTGAACAGACAACCAGTGGAGACGCCTGAAGGAGCCAGGAACGGACGACGCATCGCTGGTCTGGTCGCGCCCATCCATTTTTTGCGCCGACATAGTGCAGAGAAACTATCTATTTTCCCATTTCCCATTTTTGACGCCGGAAACGAAAAAAAGCGGATCACAGCGTAGTCGCGCCCCAAGATAAGGCGTCGTGATTTATTGATCCGCCTGCAGTCAACCTTGACTCACCGCCCCGCGATCTCTCCACCCGCTGATTGGCCCCCAGCCTGAGCGGCCGCCGGAAAAGGGAAGGCTGCCTGAGTCACCGCGCAGAGCGAACGAGTCACCTTTTGGCATTGAGCTCATAAGCACATCAACACGGTCCTCCCGGACACTTTTTTTGGCACCATGGCCTCTCGCTCTTCTTCTACTTCTACTTCTACTTCTTCTACCTCTCCCTCCCCCCTCTCGACCTCCGCTTCCACCATCACTCCCAGTTCCTACTTCACCTCTCTCGTGCGGAGACGCCAACAAAAGAAAATGAGCATCACTCAAACATACTACCTCGCCCACACCGCCCGCAAGAAGCTCACCCGGGAAGCTTCGCGGGCAGACCATGACCTCCGCCTCCTCGTTGGCCATGCCAACCTTCTGGATTCCCTCATGCTGGAATTGGCCGATGCCGAAAGAGAACAAGAACGTTGGTTCAACCAAACCGTCAGCGGAGTGACCAAGACCTCTTCGCAAGGGTCAGAATCCCGACACATCCAATGGGCAGAAACCGTGGTCGAAGACCCCGAGGAGGACTGGGATCCCGAAGACCTCTCCGACGCCGACTCGGATGTCAGCGACTCCGACTCCGACTATGATGAAGATGAATATGAGGATGAATCTCACATCTATACCCCCGTGCGTCGGCGGGCCCCGTCACCTGTCGCCATCATCACCGAAAAGGAAGTGGAGGAGGATTACGATTCCGACTCGGACTCGGACTTTGAATACGATGACGCGGAAGATTTGGAGGAATTGACCTTGACCCGCTCACCCTCCCGACAAACCCCTCCCGACTTGCTGTCGGACTCGGATGGGGAATCTGAAGACGACACCATGCCACCGTCGCCTCCCCAACCGACACTTGAAACATTCAACGAGAAGGAACCTCAAACCACAGAGATTCCCCTCTCCCCTACGGATCTCGACAATGGGTATTACGTCCCTGGCCAGGCACGCAGCACGATTATCGAGGCGTACTGATTGTGCCCTGCCAATTGACGACCACGTCAATGTACCATACGTGATACCCCCATTTATTGATGAATTGTTCTGGAAAGGTTGATTTTGTTTTGGGCGAGTCGCCACTATCATAGCGGGTCCGGCGTTTTATTCTGCGACAAGATAAAAGGAATTCTTTGGTTGGGCATTTTGGTTTGGAGACTACTGTTTTGCATTGTTCGAGATCGCATCCCTACTATTTTGCATGCCCGAGCGCTTGGGCAGTGATTCTCTACTCTTTGATTTTTTCTTTCTTGGATCGATATGGTCCGTCCCCACAGTTAGGCCGCTGGGATAGACGGTCGAGAACTTTTTTTGCTTGCCCCTTTTGGAGGCAAATATCAGATGAAACCCCATGATGAATGAATATCACATTACAAGAAAGACCAACCAACTCCCCGTAAAACTCCATAAAAATACCAATAGATAAAGCAGATAGAGAGATATGCTCATCATCAACAACACCTTCCCGATGAGATTCGATCTTCACCGTAGATTAAAGACCAGCCCACATGGCCGCCAATAGCCGATTGATAGATGGATGTTTAGTCCGTCCCTGGTCTCCACTTTCTCTGAACCGCGACTAGTCCGTCAAGGTTAGGCCTCTCGCCTGAAATGAAGAAGACATTGGGCGACTGTGATTATTGTGCAAGTCCGACACATCGCCGTCTCAACTCCGCTGGGCCAGAACCGGGATGGCAGTGCCGATCGCCCGCCCATCCAATCCACTCCTCAGCTACACTTTTTCTCCCTTCTGCTATGTATCTATCTCAATCGGCATCCAGACCCCGACTTGTTCACAGTCCACACAAGTGGACACTAGACACTAGACAGGCTACTAGTCATTGAGCACACCGCCCCGTGATGCATCACATGGGCGATCGATCCCGCCCGGCGGATCATCACTGCCGATCCTGACCTTCACAACTTTCATTTACTTGCTTGTTTGGTGAAGGAAGAGGGTTTCCGTGGTGTTCCTTGAAAAAGTCTACTTTGTACTCGATCATCCCGTCCGTCCCTTGCCCGGAAGTTTCGGGTGACGGATGTCCATGGATATCCCATCACAAGAGAAGTTTCTGGGGCTTCTCCGATCATGTGAACTTTCTGGTAGAGTCTTTGCCGTTCTCTCCGAAAATTTTTGCACTCGTGGTTGAACTAGACTAGACCCTGAAGGAAAAAAAAAAAAAGAAAAAAAGAAAAATAGAGTCGCCGTTGATGTGGGTCAGTCAGAATCAGACTATTTATTTCATATTTTACTCTAGATAGGAGAATTTATTTCTCTCATGATGGGGCAAATGGTTAGTTTAATTCGCGTTGTGAGGGGGGATACAGTGTAAGTTGGGCAGATATTTTGTTTGGTATTATTAGTAGATTTTTCTCCGTGATAGTAATTTCCTTGGTGTCGCGATATTTAATTGACCATTCAGGAGGGTTGTGTATAGAATGTTTTGCCGGGAGGGAGAGGAGTAAAAGAGAGGGGTAGTTTAGTAGCTGATGGTGTTGTCTGATAGCACATACTACTGACTTGCCAGATGCTTGTCCTCTTGTGTGCCAATGACTCTGTCCCGTGGATGCATTAGTTAAGCATCATACTGTCATACTGCCATACTGTCCAAGTAACAAACAAACTAACTAGTCAGTAGTTATAACATCATTGATTAAACCCCTCCTCACCGCCCTGCCCCGCTTTGGAGGATCTCCTCTCCTTTCCGGCTTTTTGTGCTGCTACTCATTCCCCTTCCGGCTTCCGCTCCGAGTGACCATCCCACTTCTCCATTCTCCATTCTGCTTGCTTCCATCCTCTCACTACTGACTGAGCTATCATCTATCCTTCTATCCTTCTACCTGCATCCTCCCGAGCCTCCCTAGCATTCCTCCCGTACGAGCTCATCATCCAAGCATAATCTGCCCGGGGAGCTCCATCCTGATAAGCCCCGATACTCTGTACCGCCAAACCATGGTCTGCGTCTTGCGCATCGTACCACTGGCAGAACGTCTGGAGCTTCACGGTGGCTGAGCAACTCTTAACTTTAACTTTGTTATTCTCCGCTCGTCATCCTGTATTCTTCGCAACAGGCTACATCATCAAACAACATAATCTCCGATAAGAAGTACCACCACCACCACAACCCCTCTTCCACCCCCTCACTCCCAAACCCACCCGGGCGCATTCCTTCGTCATGTCATTTCCTTCACTGGACGGCAGCGAGCCACTCCCTGGCCGTCCCAGAACTGCCTCTACCACGCGAGCTTCACGTGGAGACTCTAGGAGGAAATCTATCTCATTCAATATCGGCGGTTCCGAATCCCTGCCTCCCAGTCGCTCAGCCAGTGTGTCGGATCGCAGGCGTTCGCCTTCACAGGTGCCTACAGAGAGGGAGGCTAGACCTGCTACTGCTGCTGTTATCCGCGGTCCATCCCCTCCTCCGCCCAAGTAAGTGCCAATACGTACTTATCCTGGTTGGTATTATCGCTAATCTGGTGACTGCTTAGGACCTACGAACGGGGCGTCTCCTTCGATACCTTTGATAATCCCGACGCGGCAGATTTCTCCTTGACACTGAACTACAAACACAAAGGATACCAGAGCACGCGGCGCAGTCGGACATTTCTTTGCGGCACAGATCAGAACGATTATTCTGATTTCGCGCTTGAATGGCTCATCGATGAGTTGGTGGATGATGGCGACGAGATCGTCTGTCTCCGTGCGGTGGAAAAAGACTCCAGTATCGCGAGTGATGCTGCAGTTGAGGCTGGAAAATACCGGAAGGAAGCGGAGAAGTTGTTCGAACAAGTGATTCAGAAGAACACCCAGAATGAGAAAGCTATCAGCTTGGTTCTGGAGTTGGCTGTCGGCAAGGTCCAGGACATTATTCAGCGCATGATCAGGATCTACGAACCCGCCATCCTCATCGTGGGCACGAGGGGCCGTAATCTAGGTGGCATGCAAGGATTGCTGCCAGGCTCCGTCTCGAAGTACTGCTTACAGCAATCGCCGATTCCTGTTATTGTCGTGCGACCTACCACCAAGAGGGAGAAGAAAAAGAAGAAGCGTCTCGCAGACCCCACCAGGCGCAACTACAATAATATACTAGAACTGAGTGAGCGACGAGGAAGTCACATCTTCGATAGAAGCTCCAGCAGAGATAGCAGTGTGTCAAAGCTGCCTGACGAGGAGGCTGCCGTGGCTGCTGCTCTTGGTCTGCCTTCGACGTACACTCACTCGCGGAGCTCGCTCTCCACATCGGAGAGAAGCAGCGTCAGTCATGACGAGTCTCCCTCGCCCCTGGGCTCACCTGATGCTGCTTCCCGAAGCCCTCTTGGCGGGAGCGTGGAGAACTCCGAGATCGACACCGGGTCAGATGATGAGCCTACCGTATCGCACGTGGAGAATCACAGTGACGGGACTTTATCGCCAAGACAGTCGTCTGAGACGCAAGAGGTCCCTGGATTGTCCGAGGTCGATGCAGGCGCATTCACGTCCAGCATGAATGTCCCCCTTATCGTAACCGAAGACTCTCCTCCAGGCGGCACAGAAAAGCAAAACGATTGAGCGAGAAGAGCTATACCGAATACCACCTTGGTAACAATTATTTTGGGTCGTTGCGCCCATCAACCTACACACACTCGCAGATCGCACGTCAGAAGATTTTAGGCGACCAAGCCCTTCATTGCACGTGAGACTGTCCAACAACTGTTACCTGAGAACACCCTGGGTTCTATTACAACATTATAGGCCGATGCTCACTTAGCAAAGGACATATCCAACAAAGCAACACGCTTCAAGCAGCGTGGATGCTGCTAGGGGCGACGCTACCATGGACCCCGACTGATGTTCCAATTCACATACATATTTCATCTTGTTCACTTAGCGAGTTGTCGAGTCAATAGAGCGCAAGCACGCCAGTGCACACACACACACACACACACACACATACATAACCTACATATACATACATAGATCAAAATACCTGATCATAATCGACAATGTAAACTACTTCTACCATGAGCTACTTCCATGCATTCATCGTTCCACTTTTCAAAAGCGCTTCAACTATCATCATAAGTGTTCATTCCTACTACAGTACTACCATCTTATTCGGCATAAGCCCTGCCCTGCCTCCAACTCTCCAACCCAAACCAAATCAAACTAAGTATAGTATCGATTAAGAAATTAGATTACCACTCACTCCCTCATAACCCTCGACCCCAAAGACATAATACATACATACATACATACAGAGTCCAAATAACTCTACCACCCTCACTCCTATAACAAATCTAATTTACTACAACTACTACTTGGCCAACCAACCCACTCAAAAACGAACTTTTGAGGCCGAATTTACTGTACCGAAAGCAACTAGATCAGATTGAAGAGAGAAATAAGCAACAAAAAAGCAAAAATAAGCAAAAAGCAAGCCTCTTTATATTATCAAACAATGTGAAGCTAGTAATGACAAGTAAAATGAGGGGAATAAAGGTGGCCATTATTACCGAGGGGCGGTCACCGAGCGATGAATACTACTACTATCACAACAACACTACAACTACTTTTCTTATCCAAGATATCAAAGCAAGATGTTATTATATTAAGACAATGAAGAGGAGGGACCTTAAGTATGTCGATAATCGGATGTCGACAAGAAAATAAGGTGTGTGAGTTGGGAAGGATATTGAGAGGAAGAATGGAATGGAATAAGGACCAAGAATGGAAGAATAATGAAGAAGAAAAAAAAAAATAATAAGGAACTTTTCTAACGAGATTTTGTCTAAGAAAGTAGAAAGAAAAGGAAGCAACTGCAGGGACACTGCAAGCTATCGCCAGCAACACACCGAACCCAGTGTAGATGCATCAAATGCAGAAGTGAAAGAAAGAAAGAGGCAAGAAAAAACAACGTGACTACTAAAACTTGTCTCTCGCATGACATAAAAACGTCGTGGCTAGCCTGCAAGTCCCGCCCCGGTGGTCGACGCTGGTT